GGAAAAATTTGCTTAACTTAGTGACGTAACAATAGAAATCTCCATGCACGCGCGACCGTTAGCACACACACGCCGTGAAATAGTGCTTAAGGTTAGCAAATTTTTCTGCTATGCTAAACACAACTTTTTGGCTAACTGTTAAGCAGCGCCGGGAAATTGGGCCCAGGGGAGCTGGTTACAGAACGACAGTCTAAGGATTTTTAATCTGAATTTTACTTTCAGAATTTCACAAGCCAGGAGATCCAAGGATTACCGTTTGTGCAACTTATTTGAGATGCTATGGTTCATAGTGTCTGCATCCATATGGGCATTGTGTCTAAATGAATGAAGTGTTCTCCTTGCCTCAAACAGACACTGTTGCTCTCAAGCGCCCATGCAGACACAATCAACCATGGCATCTATTTAATAAGTTCAACAAACAGCAATCCTTGGATCTCCCATGTGAAATTCTGAAATGGAAATTTGAATTAAAAATCCATCACTAAACAGCATAACTAATCATCTAACATACTATCCAGTAATCAAACATACATACCGGTATGTACGATGTCTCAATCCTAAAGTGCAGCTGTGATGTGTATACATTAAAGTTTCAAATTCATTTCGTAAAGTGTCAACTTTTCCACGAAACTCTCAAAGTGCAGCTGTGATGTGTTGTGCAATAAAGTTTCAGTAAAGTGTCGATTTCATACCAGTGTTGGAGCAAAGGCTTTGACCCTCAAGGCCAAGGCTTTGACCCTTAAGGCCAAGGCCAAGGCCTTGACCCTCAAGCCTCGAGGCCAAGGCTTAACCCTCAAGGCCAAGGCCAAGGCCCTGTTTTATGAAATGACCACTGATATAGAACTACATGTAATTATAGTCACATGAGTGACACATCATCACGCAAGGGCAGATCCAGAACACAATTTTTTTTGGGGGGGGGCAAAGAAATTTTGATCCCCCCCAAAAAAGTGGGTCAAAAAATTACGGCTTGGGCTTCGGGGCCCGCTTAAGGGCCCCTAAAAGTTTTTGGATTCGAGATGCTCTGTGGTGCGATTTGAGGCAATTTCTGACCATTTTAACCAATGTTTTTTGAGGAAAAGATGGTGGTGTACTCATTGCCTGCCTTTATTACGACGTCACATAAAAAAAAATGGTTTCGTTGGGTTTTTTGGGGGGGGGGGGCGGCATGGCCCCTTTTGGCCCCCCTGGATCCGCCCTTATCATCACGAATTGCTCGTTACGAAGAACAACATTTCCTTAATTGCAATCAACATGCTCGCATAGGCCTACACCGTTTTATGACTGCACTGTATCTATTAAAGTATAAGTTCAGGTCTTCAATATGGTTTAACTAAACAAAATAATGATTACTTCTATATTGACACACAATTCTCCCAAGTGTAACAAAAGGGGGATCCAAGAAACTGTTTTGGGAAATTTTTATTTGCTTGCCCAACATGGTCAGAAATATCAGCATTATCTAAAACAGATACATGCAAATCTTTAGCACTTATCAGGGAGACATACAACCAATCAGATCTATTCCATAGTTATATGCAATTAAAGTGATCATCTCATTAGCCCCACAAGTGTACGGAATATTTTTGCAGCAAATCTACTACAATGGTAACAAAGTGTGATGCTACAAAAGTGGAAGTGTGCCCACCACACAAATCTAGGGTGCTTCCCTCCTCCATGGTAATACGATTAAAATGGTAACAGCAAAATTTCGAACAGATTTATCTGGAAAATTCAAAAATCTATGGGCCTTGAAGAGCCTTGACTCAAAATTGCAAGGCCCTGAACCCTCAAGGCCAAGGCTTTTGCCCTCAAGCCTCGAGGCCAAGGCCAAGGCCCTAAAATCCAGCCTTAAGGCAGCCTTAAGGCCAAGGCCCAGCATCAAGGCACTACATCACTGTTTCATACTGCAGAGAATCAGTCAAGTTCGTAGTGGACGCAGCTCTCTGCGGTAGTCACAAACTTGTCAGCATCAACCTGGGAGATGGTGGCATTGTTAGGATGACACATCTTTCCTGACAGGTTGAAGGAGCGGCAGTTGGGATCCTTGTGGCAGGCCATGCAGCATTGCAACGGGTGCTTGATCTGGGTGACCCCGTAGACGTGGCCCAGCAGGCAGGGCGTGGTCACAGCATGGCAGCGAACTGAACTCTTCTCCTTTTGTTTCTCGCATACAATGCGTTTGGAGCCAGAACAAGGAACTTCAGCAGATTTTAAACTTTTGTGTTTGAAATCTGTACATGTCTGTTGGTTGCTGAGCATTGCGAGCTGCTGTTGGTTATCATCAGAGCACACCCGCTTCCCGTCTATCTCCTTACAGCCCAGCCAGATTCCTTTTGCTCCACCTTCAGATTCAGAAAAAAACTCTCTCACCATGCTGCTGACAAACTCTGTCTCTTGCTGAGAATTGAGAACCACAAGTTGCAAACCAAGGCCTTCACATTTCTTGTAAGCATCAAGCCAAGGAATTTTGATCTCAAGTAGCTTGACGTAGCAAGAGTGATTGTAGTATGTCCATCCTTGCGGACATCTCAAACAGATTGCATCAGTGCTAAGAACACCGACCATCAGAGCAAGCCAGCCTCCAAACAAAATGCTTTGCAACTCCAGATACATTGTTACGATTCCAATGTATCAAACTTGTAGGATCCCAAAATGATATCAGTTTTTTGGGTTTGTTTTTTTCAACTGAATTTCAGTTGCCGTTTGTAATGAATACAATCAGGGTTTGAAGAACAGGATGTCTTCTACTTGTTTGAAACTAGCACTGCCCGGTAAACAAGCTGTTTGCGCCAGCCAAAGCTGTCTGCTTAGTGCCACTACTTGGTTGCCATGGAAACATCTGTGTGGTGTTTTTTGATTTGTACATTTTCTCACCAACTGAAATTTTAAGTGACAGCATAAAATTGCACTTATCCACGGGTGATTGGTGCTTTATTAAGATGATACACATACACTACCAGTACCATGTCCAAAATGCAGCGGTATCTTGCTAACACTTTGTCTAGTTGTAAAATGCACGACATTAGTTACGCTTGAGATAAATACATGTACATGTAGTACTAAAAGCTTGACGTAAATTTGGTCATTAAAGGTACATGTATGATAGAGTAGATCATTTGCAGTGCAGCTATCCAAAATGTATGAGATTGGAAGGTTTGCATGGTGGAAAGATACTACGACAAGAGTTTGCAGTAGCACCATGTGAATAAATCTCTTTTGTGAGTATGTGTGGCTCTGAAAAGAACCGGAGGGACTCAACGTTTCGAACAGTACGCTCTGCCCGTCTGACATAATTATTGTTGAAAAGCTTACTTGGTTTAAAGATAGTAATGGCACTAAACTCCCTGTGAAATTATTCTCTCTCGCATAATTTCAAAAAAATAATCAAAGATGGCCATTTCCAAAGATGCGTTTAGTGGCGCATTTTCAGAAATGTCCATTAGTATTCGGTCTGTATGGCGAATGGGTGAGTGCAAGCATTGGCACGATGCACACTGTCATTTTTAAACATCTAAGTTCCCAACACTATGGGACAGAGACATGACACATTAAGCCATTCTCAATGTACACAGCGCCTTGTAGTTACCGTCTCGAGTACCAATGGGTAACTGATTGCCATAAAAGTGCACCTATCCACTGGTAATTGGTGCTCAAGATGATACACTGTCGACCAAAATGCTGTACATGTAATTATAATCAAAATTTCTATAATGCACCATTTTTACTTCTGATCCGCCTAGAGTGCTGATGGAATGAAGACTGAGGCATCGTACTCACACTTTGTCTAGTTGTAAAATGCATGACATTAGTTACGCTTGAGATAAATTTTACTAAAACTAAGCCTTTGGTCATTAAGTTAACTGGAGGAAGGGTTAGTAGATGTACATGTACTGTACATGTAGGTAATCATGTAAAGAAAACCTGGTACAAACTTGAACCCTGTCCGAAGATATGAAATACATGTACATGTGTATTTTGTGACATGGTCGTGAGGTCATTCGGCATCAAATTACATGTAATTTAAGGTCAAATTTTGTTGTAATTTGAGTATAACTTTTTTTTAATGAACAGTGTTACAAATGAAATGCTTTTATCAGAGTGAGAAGAACATGATGTCTTCTACATAAAATAGGCTTAGCTCTTTGCGACAGCAAACGCTGTCTGCATTTTGCTGCATATGGGGCGGTGGAGTGTTTTGCATTAAGTATTTTATAACCATAAAGGGCTTAAAGGATGTGAACAATGAACCGCCGTCGACCAAAAAGTTACCGTCGACAAAAAAGTGTGGCACCCGACAATATAGCAGTCGTGAGAGTATGTACCGGCTTTTGGTTTTCAAATATTCAATCTGACAAAAATTATTCAAATATTCGGTTGACTTTCGAGTTTTCTGTATGCGACAGCCCTACTGTGCAAACCCTGAAATACATGTATGTACAAAATGTATCATATGTACATGTACATATTGGCATTGGAGGGCAAGTGTACATATGTACATGTACTTGTCAGAACATACATGTACATGTACTTATTCTGTTGCATACTCACAAGCAGTCCAGACTTTTAATTGGGATTGTTTTGCACTTCCAAATATTATACGTACATTTTACATGTATTTAAATAAATTTAAAAAAAAGAAAAAGAAAGTTATCAAAGTTATATAAAATACATCTATAGACAAACAAAATTCACCATGCACATTCAAAATTGTCGGCCTCCTGCACGTCCCCGTTGTTAATGTGATCCCGAAGAACATTAACTGGTTGAAACATCAATATTCCAAGATTGAGAGTGAAACTGTTGCCATGGGAATTTATGGGGTAGGAATCAGTTCAGATATGATTGTTGTCAGTATTTAAATTCCCAACTCTTTCGCCCAAATTTTATTTTACGAGCCCAAACCATTGACATGTAATATCATTTGGTGATGATGCTTTTATGGTTATCATTCAGATTTCTAATCCTTTCATTGTATATTTCTTATCTTTATGAAACAGTACCAGGAACTCTACAAGAATCGCTTTGTGAATCCCATTGATCAAGGCATTGGCAGGTGAGTTCAGCCTTTAGACGACCAAATCAATCAAAGGGATAATGTAACAAAGCGCCGTGCAAAAGACATTTTGAAATGGAGTCTTTGATGCATCTTTCTGTGTTCCAGTTCTGTTTTTAAAGTCTTTGTATTTTCATTTCTAAAGGCTTTTCAGGTCTTTTTTTTTATGCCTGTCACAAATTTCCATATCCATGAGCGCTGGCCTAGTTTACTACAGCATTAGTATCAACAGTTGCAGTTGTTAATTAGGTTCTTCTCATTGTGCAAACTTTTATGGACAAATTTTCGGGTAGTTAATTAGGGGAATCATAATGTATAAATACAAAAACTGGAGAGCCTGTGCCTTAAAATAACAGGTCACTCAGGTCACTATGGAAATTGCATGGATGTTGTAAACAGTGAGAGAAGTTTATTTTGAAGGGAGTGTATTACACCATCAAAAATAAAGTGTCGTGTTTTTTTTAATCAATTTCAGAGACATGGATATTCTCACAAAAGTTGTTTAAGTGTCAATTTCATTTTTTGTCAATGTTAAAGGCCTTCAGTGATTGTCCGTAAAATCAGCCCCATGTATGCTTAGAAACCTAAATGATTTGGGTTAAATGTATCACATGTCAAAAATGAAAGCTTAAAACAATTATGCATTTAATTGTGTTTGAATAAATTGATTTCTAGACGTACAGGATGGGTGCTTAACAAGGAGGTGCGTAAGGACAGTGAAGGCTTTGAGTTATTTGATGACTACTGGTCAGATTCTGGTAAGTAAGAAGAAATGGGATATTAGGAGAAAGTTAAAGGTATATGTACGTAGGATCATTTGCCTATTGTGCATTTTGTTTTCGTTTGAAGCAACAAAATTGCTCAAAATCTTGAAGTTTCAACTCAGTGGATAGTATACATTTTGAGAAAACGCAGAAAAGTACGTGAAATATTTTGGGTTTCGTAACTGGATTCTGTTGCTTATGCACGTAAAAAGTGTGCCCGCGGGCAAGCTTCCTGTTTTGAAACCACCTTCAATGTTAGTTTTCTTCCAAAAGATACCATTTCAGCAGCCGATTTCACAAAAAAGTGCGTAGCTTGTGCAATGCATAAGACTTACTCAACAAATTTGTTGCACAGCTGCTCAATAAACTTACGATCAATTTCACGAAACTTGGCAAAGCTGCGCAACGTTTTAAATAATTTAAACATCTTGGACGAGGATAATAACAGCGTTTACGATGGATGTTTGTGTATGAATTTGTTCGTTCACGAAACAGTTCTTGAATCAACTCAGCCCGCAATTTTGAAAAAAAAATTGTCCGACTTCTTCGGGATCATGCGGCAACTCTAAATATTCTGTCACGAGTAAAATAGCAATTCATGTACCTCAAACAAGAAGCTGCAAGTGTCTTGTATCAACATTGATAAATTGTGTAATGACGGGCTCCACGACGATCATAATTTACTTGTAAAATACATTGTAGGTCATTTTCAGTCGCTACGCCACAACTTATGCCACCTAAAATAATTGCGTAAGTTACACCATAATTTATTGCGCAAGTCGCGGACTTACGCACTGTGAGACTTTCGTGAAATATGTCTCATAAGTGAAATGTTGCGCAGTGTACGCAATAAATTGTGGCGCAAGCAGAGTTGCGTAAAGCTTCATGACATCAGCTGCAGGTTAATACTTGAGACAGGATTTGTGATATCAGTCCCACATGTATGCATCTTCACTTTGAACAAAGTTTTTGTCATTAAATTGGCAAAGACTTTTCTGAGTTATTAGGCCAAAAATAAGAATTTTTCTGCTTCCAATTACATGGCATTTGAAAATAGGGCAGGTAGATAGGTAGGGAAATAAAAAAAAAAATTGGCAATTTTTGTGTGTACGATCATATAGAGGCATCTGCGTGTTGTCAAGGGTAAAAGGTAGAAATTGATGGTTTTGGGTGTGTTTTTTTTCCTCATTTTTCCCATAAAAAAATTAGGGTAGGGGCTGTCAGAATAGGGTAGGTAGGGAAACCGGAAGCAGGACTATTATTTTTTTTGGCCTTATTATTATTGTTATTATTATTAATGGTTTGATTAAAGACTTTTGCAGCCAAAGGCTGAATTACAGTCAATTTATTTATTTTTTAAAAGGGGGAATTAATGAATAAAAATTAGGTATAAATTGTAAAAGGATAGACATGTGCATAAAAACTCTGGACTGAAGTACATGTACATATTGTAAAAAAAAAATTTAAATGCACAACTTTGACATGACTTCATTAGATCTGGCTTACATCTTACAGCCTACATCTGATCACAAAAATATACACAAAGGTAACTTGTATGAAAATAGAGCAACAAATCCCTGTGTGTGTGTTCTTCTTGATCCTCCGGTTATATTCCTAATAACTCGTGATCTGTCCTGTGTGCTTTGGTTAGGTGAGGAGAGTGTTGATGACTTGTCCCTTCATGCCAACAAAGAAAATAAAGGGAGACCGTACAAGGTTAGTAAGTGCTTTCTGAAATCCTAACTTTCTCAACTAACTTCAGCCATATCATGTAAGGTGGTCAGAATAGCCTTTACACTGGAAGCTCTACCAGTTTTTACATCCATGTCTTCCTATACAGCTGAGTTCTCCCATTAAGCACATGCCAGACTTTACTCCGAGTTCTCGGGCCAGCACAGATGTGGAACCCCTGTCTGATGTTGTCTCCAAAACAGTCACTTCAAATTCCACTCTGACCAAAGCTTCAAATAATCTTTCAAAGATTGCCAAGTCAGTTAAAGCGGATCAGGCTAAAACTAACGAAGAGCCCTTGGCTATAGAGAGGGAGAATGGCATAACCAGGGAGGAAGGTGATGCTGGAGATGAAGTGACAACACCAGGCCGAGAGGAAGGCGGTATTCAAGAGTCAGACATCACTGGAAGCATTATTAAAGGAGGAAATTCTTTCCAGGTTCCCAACTCTGCACTTCAGGAGTTCAAGACCAAGACAAGGTCAGAACCTTTATGTTGCCCAATTCAACCATTGCTGTAGTTTTTACATCTAGCTGATTGTTGTCTTTTGAAATGCGAGCTAATTTCATGGACTGGCACGAGTAAGGCTGTGGTTATGCAACATTTTAATGTTTAAATGCTTACAGTATTGATATTTGTATTGATATCAATAAAGCATTTAACTCTTTTTAATTTGTTTAGAGAAACACCAATTTCCTCCCAACGAAAGATTTAAATTTCAAAATTTAATTGCATTCTCTCATACATGCTGGAAGGTAAGACAGATACTTTGAATTTTATAGTCGGAAGTTACCATGGTAACAGTGCATGCCATTGGTTACATGTCATCAATCCCACTCCCGCCACCTGCCCAAAAATCAACGAATTGATTGAAAATATCCACAAATTGATTGAAAATATCCCTTAGAATGTCGACGAACTACAATCCTAGGGCTGTCGCACATTAAATTCAACTTGGCTTCCTTTTACAGTAATTTGATTTTGAGGAGATTTCCCTCGACCCCTAGAAAGTCCAATTTTGTGGCTAAAAATTACAAACCAGTGGAAGGAAATAAAGCCGCCATGACATCCTAGTGCCCCACTTAACTTGACTTAAGACACGTCCACCCCCACTTGGATTTAAATCACAAAAATAAGAGGGGCTTTTAATGAAAATGTTTTGTGAATACTGCATACATTTTAAGACCGTTTAAGTTGCATAATTACAAATGTATGTGGGGTGCTTACTTTTTGTGACTTAAGTCATTTTGTAAATACAGCCCCAGATGGTTGGTTACAATAGTACAGAGAATTTCTGCAAAACCATGTGGCTCAATAAGTATGTGAATGTACATTTTGTTTCTTGCTGCTCAATAGGTAAAACGTTACAAGCGTTTAAACATGGAATGAGATACTGCTAGAATCAAAATGTTAGGTCCTCACTTTTTTGTTTAAGTAATTAATAGTTGTAAAGTTGAACACACAAATTAACTGGATCAGGGTTTGAACCTAGGACCTCTGGATTACCGTACCGGCACTCTACCAACCAATCTATCTACCCCTATATTAGCCCTCATTAATGCACCTAGCAGTTTCTCTTTGTTGTTCAGATGTTTAGAATTTTTTTTAATTTCCAAAATTTTAAAAAGTTAAAATCATTACATAACTCAACCTCAAATCGCAGCCCTTAACTTGACAGAAATCATAATTCTGGTTTTTCTCTCCAGGTTAAGCTTTGGTAATGACGTTGACGATACACCAAAAAGGAGATCCACAAATGGAACATCATCAAGAGCAGTCGGGAGTCAAAGCGATGACGAGAGTGTCTCATCGGATACCACCTTGAAAGGATCTCAGTCTGATGTGAACTCGGACGGCATTGGCACAGATAGAGAAGTTTCAGCAGCAGAAGCAGAGCTTGGGACCACGGAGAAGACAAACCAATCTGTTGTGGAAATAACTTCAGATGAAGAACTGTCAGACAAGGTCTCATCAGTACAAGTACCAGAACAGGAAATGTGAGTATTAACCCTCCTGCTATCTGAACAGTCACAGACAGTCAAAAAAATTCAGTCCTGTTTCCCTGCCATGCCTTTTACACAGGCTAGTCACCAACAGTTAGATCATATTGGAAGCAAGCATTGTGACTAGTCAAATTCAGTCAACAGACAAAAACGGGCAAGAAGTAGGCACGGCTGGCTTATCAGTCACCATATTGTCAAATCATAGCTGTATCAAGTTATACAAACAGTCACAGCCAGTCAATCCTGCTTTACATGTATGTAGGCTGGAAGCTCTTAACTGTTGAAAACAGTCACTTGATTAATATTGACTGAAAGTACAACTTTGCTCAGAGATATAAATTTTGTACAACATTTCCTTTTTTATATATTTGCTCATTCAACAGTTTTGTATTTGTATTTGTAATGCAGAACTGCTCAAACAGCCACAGGCGCCCCGAAACAGAAATCGGTGAGGAAAGGTAGGAGTACAGGATCAAGTATCTCAGAACAGCAAACAACCACCAATGGTCACCAAGAGACAACAGGTACTACAAGATCAAGGAGAAAGAAACAAAGTGTCATGCCTGTGGAGGATGATCTAATGTCAGCAGATGAAGGGATGTTTATATCACTCCACAAACCATCAGCCAGTCAGCAGGATAGAAGTGAAGTGACGGTGGCTGATATGATCCAGAGGCCCCTCAGTGATCAGTCATTCCATGATGCTGATGATGAAGAAATGCTGGAAATCGTAGATTATGATCACTCCTACAGGTCCACCTTGAATGCTTTGAAAAGAGCCATGAGACAATCAGACTCTAGCAAAGCAGTGAAATCCGTGTCTAAGACGCAGAGTCGGAGAGGAAGACAGAAGAAGACAGACAAACAAGAGGGATCGGACAAGGACATTGTCGACCAAACATCTGATCAAGACGTGCCAAGTTCAAACAAGGAAATTACTGAAACTGCAGGACAGTCCCTTAATGGTGTATCCAGTGAAGGCAGTGGAGCAGATGTTGAGAAGTCAAAACAGGTGCAAGCATCAAAGACATCACGGTCAAGGAAGTCTGCAGCTAGGAATAGTTCTCTTAAGGCAGTCCGAAGCAGCACTAATGGTGAGGTGGAGTTCAGTACTACTGGCTCCGACACTGATGCTTCTAAAAGAAATCGGTCCAAGAGAAGACTGACCAAGACATCCCAGAAGACTTCCAGATCTGATGCAGATGGTAACGAGAGAGGCTCAACAAGAACAGATGAAGATGACGGTAGAAGGAAGAGCAGACGAAAGAAGCCTAGAACAGTGGACGCTGGCAATAAGGCAGAAAAGAGCAACAAAGCCACAGACTCGGTCGTTGAGGATAATACCAAGACTAGCAGGAGAAGAAAAAGGTCTGTGAGAGGACAGAACTCCACTGACAGTAAGACTGATGAGGAAAACGGGCCTGTTGCTGATGCTGAAAATTTAGAGGAGAGTGATCAGAAAGGAGCTCAATCAAACACAGACCAGGCAAAAGTCTCCTCATTCAAGCAGCCACCTGCAGTATCATCCAGGAAATCGGTACAGAAGAAGCGTACCAGTGTTCACTTCAGCAATGTGGAGGTCATCTCTGATGACGTCTTATCACCCACAGCAGGAAATGAACCCGTTGCAGAGAAAGAAGCTATCAACTCCTCGCCTCCTAAACAAACTCTTGATACAGCTTTAGATGGCAGCTCTCCAAGAAAGAAATTTAAAAGGACTCCGGGAGTAAAGCTTGTTCAAAGGCGCTCTACCAACAGAAGATCAAAAGATGGTGAGGAAAAACCTGACAAGATGCCTCAAAAGAGGACAACTGAGAATGTCCGAGAAGCTGTGAGCCCTAAGAGGCAGCGTGGGTCATCGTCATCATCTGTGGTCAGGGGAGGCAGAAAGAGGGGAGGCAAGAGGAAGCTTTACTCTGGTGACCTTCCCAGCAGCTTCCTCATTGACCCGTCGGTAAATGATGCACCCTCTGCAGCAAGCATCATGAATGCTGACCCTAAGACAGCTGAAGACACAGACAATTCTGTCGGAGCTAAACAAGAAAACCAGACTCAAGAAGCTCCTGTGGGTGCACCTATTCAGGGGCGAGGTAAGGGTAGGGGTAGAGGACAAGGACGGCGGAAAGGCAGAGGTAATACAAGGGGAAGAGGCGGCGTGAGGAAGACACAACCTACCAGAGAGGCTGCTCAAGACATTCAAGGTACATGTATGTCTTTATTCAAATGTTTAACCCTAGCCCTGCAAGGCGTAACACAGTGCATGAGATGTACAAATCTGTAGGACCTTGCTGCATTGAGCCTTCAACACCAGTGCATTAACGGCCAATTCTGAGACAATGAGAGCTAGTCCCATTGAGCAATGCCATAGTTGTAACTTGCTGCTGCTGGTGACCACATACTCTGAGGCAGTTTGGCCTTGAGATTTCCAACCTGATTTCTTGCTATACTGAGCAGGCTTGTCATTTTCACAAGTGTTGCGTGTTGCTGTGTTCAGCAGGGTTTCTATCCCAAATACCCTTAGGGGTTAGGGTTAATAGCCCTTTGTTGGTGGTTTGTCCATACTGTTCCTGATAACAGTAGCAACTGTCACTCTGATACAAGTAGCAAATGTCTAGCTGTTTGTGACTTTCCTTCGGTACAAAAAATGATATGTATGTTGCTATATTTTACTAGTCTGGTGGTTGAAGACAGTACAAGCTGCTGTGGGCTAACTAAACCTCACAATTTCGAAGAAACTGGAGTAAATAGTCTGTGTAAAATTCAGTGAGGAGAAAAAAAATTTAATGTGAATTATATTTGTTGGTTAGTTGGAACATTGTAGAGTAATGGATTACTAGCAATGAATTACTAGTAGCCGAGAGACAAAAATATGTGCACACAGGGGTTTGTTCAAATTGTGCTCTGGTTTTAATATTTGAATGGGACCATGCTGCTTCAAATAACCATTAAGAATGATTTGCACAAATGAAAGCTTGGAACAAATCATTGATGGGACTTTTTCCATTCTCAGTCTCTATTCCCTCCTCAGTACCAGACGACATAGTTCTGAATTTTCTAACCAAGTATGAGAGTGGTAAGGAGAGTGAATCCACAGACTCTGATGGTGGACCTACCACCATGGGAGTGACGGAGTCATCTCAATCGGACATGACTGATGCCACAAGCTCCACTGCTACACCAGCAGCCATGTGTACTACAGGTCCGTATTGCTTTACTCCTTGCTAGATGACTAGATGTTGGCCTGTTGAGTTTCACCAGCAATCAGAACGGACACTAACTAATTTAACATTTTGAAATGAAATTCAGCTTTTTGCAGGCATGCAACTTTTCCTCGGATCCGCTTTTTACTTCTCATGAATGTCATTACGAATTGAAAAACACTTTTCAAAGTGTGGCGTGGTTTGGAGTTTACTTGTTTTTTCTAAATTCTCAGCTGCATGCCTGTTTTTGAAAAATAACATTGCCAATTTGATGATTCCTTTAAAACATTCCAGGCATTATGTGCAGTTGCAGGCAGCTTTTGTTCATTTCAAATTCTGCATCGAAAGTGTTTGTCAGAAAACTTAGTTCAGACATTGTCATTTAAACGGAGAGTCAGAGGCCTTATATGTGGCAGTTTTATTTATTCTGAAAAATACAGTGTTGACCCATTCCCTTGATAACGTTGAGTCAACTGAATTCTACACGTTTTTGTTTGTCTATTTTACCATTTCAGTGTATCCTGAACCGACACCACGGTCCATTCTGAAGGGATCAGCTGCAGCGGGCATCGATGCTCGCAAGAAGAATCTTACACTACAGTTCTTTGAAGTACCAAAACAAAAGCCAATCATAGGTAAGCACTCGGCTTCGTCAACTCTCATCAACTTTTTCAGGACGATCTTCGTCTTATTGTTAAACTGAGTCTTATGATAATCTGTTTCATTCAGTTGCCTGAAATTTCACACAAATTCTTTAAATTCTCTGTTTGAATACAACCGCAGATAAGTACATGTAGCAGGGGGAAAAGGTACAGTTACAATATAAAAATGGTTTGGTGAACATATTTCTCAGTACCAATCTAATTGTGTACTTTCCCATTCCTCTGCTTATCAATTTATGTAAAACAAATATTTTGGCAAGGTCTGGCTGAATTTGTATTGTATGGCTCTTATCTGTTGTTGAGCTGCTGAACACTCAGATGGCATGGCAATGTTCTGTTGCAAAAAAACTACTTATTGAATACAATGTATGCAGCATTTTCTTAGCAGCTGTTTTGAAATTGTAGCCTCTCTGACTCGTATGCTATTAACGCTGATCCACTAAGCTGCGTTCCATCATGTTTTGACCAATTTCAGCCATGATTGATATCCGACATGTCCAAACGTGTATGACTCTCATATCTTGGACATGTAGTGTGGCATTGGGGAGGGGCACATGATGTTCCAAATGGACAGTGGGCGAAGCCCGGTAACACATCCATGTTTTAGGTCCGGGGGGGGGGGGGGGGCAAAATTGGTAATTTTTCAGAAAAATAGGGCCTTGCAAATGTTTTGGGGTTCTTAAAAATGACTAAAAGTGGTAGGCTATTACCACGTGTAGCAGGAAGAGTTGGCACTTTCATTTCCTAAAGAAGAAGGGGGGAAATGTGCAAAATGTTGCCCCCTCCCCCTACTGGATACACCACTACCAAGGCCTAAGATTGTTAATTAATACCAAGCCATCCTGAATTAGTCAAGGCTTGGTCCACTCCCTCTCTCTGCAATGTCTTGTTATCATATCTAGTGCCACCAGATGACACGGAGAACGGCCCACGACGAACCAGGCGTAACCGGGTGAGGCCAGTAGAGTATTGGCGCAATGAGAGAGCCGAATATCAGCGCAGGAAGTCAGGAGGATTCGTGCTGGTTGGGGTACAGTCACCTGAGGGATCTAGTCCAGACGTTCAAACTCAACGAGGCAGGAAAAAAGCTCAGGGTAAATAATGGTTGCTATAGAAACTAGACTAAGCATTTGTATTAAAATTTGCATGATTTACCCAGAACTGTTTTTGCTGTCATTTTCTCTTTTGTGATACGTATTTTTGTCTTAAACTTCTTTAGATTTGTGTTTTAATTCCATGTTAGTTTTTTGTTCAGTTTTTGAGATAAATCCAGGTTACAGGATTTATTTGAGATGGAGGCAATAAAGAAAATTGAAATTTGAAAATTTACTTTTAAGCCTGAGTAAATTTTCTTGAGAAGATTCACCGAGTTTTCATCTGAAAACTCGATTAATGCAAGTGTCTATTTTGTGAATGAAATGCGTCTAGTGAATTAGGAAGGTAATGCATTGACCATTGAAACATGTTTGGGAAATGTAGCAGACTTATCTATTTTAATTGTTTTTCTTTTCTTGCTTGTTTTAATTAGGACCAAAAAAACTGATGCAGACACCGGCTAACCTGTCCATGCATGTAAGCCCACCCCCTGGCAGTAAGATAGTAGAACACCCAGCAATGGTTGTCATGAACCCTGACACGCAGCAAGAAGTTGAAGTGGGTAAGATGGACTTGATCATTGCACTGGCAAATTCTAAGGATAGGAAGCCATGCTTAACCCTCCTGCTGTCGAACAGTCACAGACAGTCAAACAAATCAATCCTCTTCCCCTGCCATGTCAATAGTCAGATCACATTTCAAGCAAGCACTGTGACTAGTCAAATTCAGTCAACAGACAAGAGCAGGCAAGTGCAGCGCAGCTGGCTTATCAATCACCTACATGTACAGTCAAAGCATAGCTGCATGAAGTTACATAAACAGTCACAGCCAGTCAATCCTACATTATGTAGACTGGGAGCTCTTAACTGTTAAAAAGAGTCACCTGATTGATTTTGACTGAAAGGACACCTTTGCACACAATGTTATCAATCACCTACAGTCAAAGCATAGCTGCATGAAGTTACATAAACAGTCACAGCCAGTCAATCCTACATTATGTAGACTGGGAGCTCTTAACTGTTAAAAAGAGTCACGTGATTGATTTTGACTGAAAGGACACCTTTGCACACAATGTTCGGAGGGTTAATGTTGCAAACATTTAGGGAAACTTGCATGCACCCTCAAACACTTAATCATCTTTTGACAAATGCTGCCGCCTGCCTCAGCATGTCTACAGTCATACGCAGGAGGGGAATTGAGCATTGATATTACAGTGTATAAAACACAATCAATTGTTTACAGTGGTTGACGTAATGAATAGTAGCTAGTCATTGGAGAGGGTATGATGTAATCAAGTACTCAGTTGCTGTTGATGCTTTGTTTATTAAACAGGTGTTACAGGCCTTTTGATTCTTTGAAAAATTTAACTGGACATCCCATTTTAAAATATTTGACTCCTTTTAAACAGTTTCAAAAGATTTTAAATTTTGTGTGCTGGTGTAAATGGTTTGATAACATCTACGTTTTGATCACATCTATAGCAAATTCCACGATTGTTGCAAGGATTGTGTGTATGATCTGTTTGTGCAGAACATCAGTTTTCTTTAAAATCGAATAGGACACATTATCACTTTTTGTATTATTTCGTATTTGTGATTAGTTAATTGTATGTGTACCTTTTGTTTATGGAAGATACTTTGCGGACAGCCAAGATGAATGTTTTTGTTGGACCTAGTGGTAAGGAGGCGACACCAGATGACCCAATCACCTTGTGCAAGGCAATCTCACAAAAAGCATTCTCCTCAGGTACAAGTGACTAATGTCTCATTCACTTATAGAATTCTCCCTTGTAGGGTCTGAAGAAAAGAGGTCACAGAAGCTGAGACGAACTAGCCCACTGTGCTATGCAAATACTGTTCTCATGGACTGCTGTAGATATGTATGGATTAAACAGACCAATCCACTAAGCCCAGCCCTATGGTGTTTTGACCAATCACAGCCGTGATTGATGTCCGACATGCACAGCTGGCACATGCAGTATGGTTTTGGAAAGGCGCATGTGTTGTTTGCTTATGTGCACAGTAATGTTTTGCATCGGGTTGACCAGGCCAAACTAACCCAAAACATTATAGATATAAACCGAATCCGAACAGAAACCGATCTGAACTCCTCTAATCCGACCTGACCCGACAAAATTCAAGCAAAAACTGACCCGAACTGACTCGAAACAGAACCGACCCGAAAAAAAAACCCGAATAGGCCTATCTGGCTTGGGCAACCGTGTCCGTTTTTTGTTCCTGAACTTACCCGCATCGCGAAAAAATCGTCTTCTATCAGTAAAAATTCTAACCGTATGGTACGGTGAAGACTCATAATGTTACCTACCGGTGGGCATACACATTATAGACTGTGCGTGATAGACTGCAAACCACATGCACATTGGCACTGTGGGTTGACATTGGTTGTACTGGGCACAGTAACTCGGCAATAATATTGCAGCGTGTGAATTTCCGAACTGTTTCTTTTTTCTTTCTTTTTTGGTTTATTTCGGTTAATTTCGGGTTTTTCACGAGATGGCTTAACCGACCTATCCTGACCTGTTGAGTCAGTTTTCGGTTGGGTTTCGGGTTTGCACAACATTAGTGCACAGTGGGTGTGGCATAATGGATGGGTCTATTGGGAGTTTCGGCCTCGGCAAGCAAATTACCAAGTAATCAGGCATGCAACTTTTCCTCGGATCCGCTGATTTCCTCGTTTTTTAGTTCTTGTGAATGCCATTAGAAATTGAAAAACACTGTACAAAGTCTTTTTGGGTTTGGAGTTTCCTCGTTTTTTTCTAAATTCCCAGTTGCATGCCTGAGTAATGTTACAGAGTTGGGATTTGTAATTTCCCATCATCTGTCCACAAAATCTGCCTCTTCAACGTTCAACACTTCAGCCTAGTTTTTGTACTTTTCTCTTTGATCCAGTCACACTTCACATCCAATACAAGCTTTCGGTTACTTGTGCATATTTCTTGTCTAGATATGGACGTTGTGCATATTTCTTGTCTAGATATAGACATATATACTATCACTGTACAGTGATGAAGGCCCTTCAATGGAAACAGCATTGTGCCAGTTATTGTCTAGATAACCATCATGAGGCAGTGTTTGTCGTTAACGGAGGGCCTGCATGAATGTGCAGTCATAGCATGTTCAGAATGGTCTACTCAGTAAGACTAATCTAGTACTAGATTGCTGATATTCCCCAAGACACTCTGACAATGAGTTGGTCATGTAGTAACCTTGATCTAAACTGCCATCTTTTTTCTTCTTCCAGGAATTCTGACCATCAGGCCACTCAGTGAGAAAGGTATGCAGTTTGTACGGAATGATACCATGGTGTTCTACATAACACGAGGCAAAGTCTCTGTGACCATACATCACACTACAAGCATCCTTCAGAATGGAGACATGTTCTTTGTACCTCAAGGTATGGACACACTACACACTTCCCCCCCCCCCCATTTGTAATTATTCAATCAATATGACAATACGGGCAGCAATATCTGTAAATTATAAATATAGACTTTTAAGGGGGGGGGGGCACCCAAAGACATCAATCCTGTCTATGCTCACTATTAAGTTGCATTGAATATAAGGCTTGGACTTTAAGGTTATTTCTCTCAATATTCAAAATCATTATCTTAATTACAAATGTTTGAAAGGAATGGTCGTAAAACAATACTGAACAACATATAACTACTTGCCAGTAAAACAAGGACTTTGCCTTCACTATTTTTGCCAACATGCCAACAAAAAGTGATGAGTGAGATGCTGCATGAAATGCCCTCCCAATGACTGGGTATAGTTTGCAGGATTCAGTGACCAAAGGGCTATTACAAAAAACACTCCAGAGCTGTAATATTGGGGGGAAAATGGATGGGAACTCTCTGATAAGTCGACTGGGCAGGCTAGCCATCTACCAAGAAGACCACTAGCAAGTGAATGCAGTTCCAATCAGAGACCATGGAGCAAATTGGGGCTTGTTCCAGTTTTCTTTAGTCTGTGCCACAAAAAAATGGAAGGCTTATTTTGTTTAAGGTTGTTTCAAATATATGTTTCCAAAATCAAAACTTAATAGGGGAATTCAAACCGACTTCTAAAAAATCTGGATTTTAATCCCACCACTAGACGGTAGACAGATGTATGTTTTTTATCTGACCTTGCAAACATGTTATCCTTTGACACTGCAGGTAACATGTACAACATCAAGAATCTTAGACGTGATGAGGCCAAGCTTGTGTTCTTCCAGCACAAAGGCCGCTGAGGTCCAGCAACCAGTCCTAACATCGCTCACAGATAAATCAATTCACTCTATTTTCTTCCCAGTTACTTTAACACTTGTATCAGTCAAATTCCATAGAAAATTAATTCAATTTCATTCCAGAATTTCGTTTGGCTCCACTGCAGATTTCAATTTCCAATCTGCAACATTACATTTCATTTTTGATGCAGTTTAATTTACGAATGTAGCATTCTTATTCGTCCTTGTTTTGGGGAAATTCGTCTCATGAGGAGATTGATGTTGAATCAAAGCTAATGTGTTTTCTAGCATTCATTTAAATGCTGCGGTCATTCAATTTCATTAGCGGCAAGCTGAAACATTAGGGTCAGATATGTTTTTGGTCTGTTTGACTTTTTCAAACTGATTAAGTAAATTTATGAACTATTTCCACTCTTCTTTTTGTGATTCAGTTTAAAAAGGGGTAATATAGCATTGTAAATTTATGTAAAGTTGATCATGGAAATCAGGCATAAAATGCATAAATCATTTTACTTGGATTCTCTAGGTCCTTGAATTAAGGGGCAAACAGATATGAATGTCTTCATTTATGTATTCATCTCATTACAAGGGACAATGAAATCACACATGAACCTATAAACAACTTCAAAGTGTCATAATTGCAATCCTTTGGTCTCCTCCCTTGCCACCCGAGGAATGCACAGACTGAATATTAATGACCAAAGCTTGAAAATGCTAACAAACAAATATAGCTTTTCAGTTCAATGGCAATCTCCAGATGAGACCAATTTCTCAACATCTGGATGAATTAGAATGCTACATTTGCGAATTACACTGCACCAAATATGAAATCGACTGGTGTAAATTCAGAATCAGAAAAATGGAGCCCAACGACGAAATGAAATGAAGTCTGTCCATGGAATTTGAATGATACAAGTGTTTTAAGTAACTGGGAAAACCTGTTTTTCCTCGGAAACTTCAAACAATAGTGCCTTCACATGATTTACTTACAAGGAACTCAGATGAAAATCTTCTGTTGGCCTCATGATCATTAACACTGAACAAGCCCAGGCCATTTTTTAAAGGGACACTTCGTCCTGGAAAGTGCCCAATTGGGCTACAAAATGCGTTTTAAACAAAGTGGTATTAAGTGGAGAGAGTATCTAAAGGTCGAATATATAAACGTGCACACAACCATCCTGCCATTTTGTGTTATTCCTGCGAAAACAAATTTCAGGGGTCAGAATTTTGACTCTCAAAAATCGAGCTGTTTGGGTGCTAGTCTTAATTCCAGTCACGTGTTCCCGGCGCATCACATGCTGCGGACGTGCGGGAAACAACCTGTGCATTGGTGTCGTGTGTACTTGTATAATGTGTGGACACACACACACGACATGTACCGCACATTGAATTGTCTGACAGGTAGTTGGCGGCAACGTCCAAGAAAGAGACTGATATTTACGGCTAGAAGTACGTATGCGTATGCCACAAAATGTCCGCCATGTCAGAAGTAAACAACCAGGGTTTTTTCCCTGTCTTGTCTAGGAAACAGTGCGACATTGAGTTAGTCCTTTCAACCAGACCAGAATAGGATAAGTAAACAGTGTTAAATATAAACATTTCAGGACGATGAGACCATTCAACTGAGAATTGTACGAATATATTTTAGTTTGCATAATCTACATGTATATAGTGTGCCTTTGAATGGGTGTGTTGGTCTGTGCCCTGGAAAATGTGGGTTCAGATTTCTCTATTACAGACTTTGTTTTATTCTTTACAAATTCCAGATGCATTGAAAATACAGTACTACATGTCGGCCTAGAACTTAAGCCAAGGACCAAATACTTATGTAATGAATCCAGTGTGCCTTAATAGCTTAGACATTTGAATATGTGTATCATCCATAGAATTGGTTGAAATCACCATTTGGAATCAAACTTGTACATTTGTAAAGTAGCATTTGAAAAGAATAGTTTTGTATGATTGATTATAGACCAATCCGGGCACACTGTCAATTCTATCACGGAGGCCCCCGTCAATGGCGAAAGCATTGCGCTAGCTATTGTTTAGATAATCTGTCAGTAGCTTAAGTTAGTGTACAGTGATCACGCGCCCGGATTCGTCTGCATCTTGAGAGTCTGTTGGGAGTAACTATAGCAACAGAGGTCTGACTTTGATTGGCACAACATCCAGTCAAGTCATTATTCATCGCACTTGTATTCTTCTGAAATAATTGAATACAAAATTAACAAATATTCATTTTTCATCAAAGCACTAGAGTTTTAATAGGCCACATTCAACAACTGACCAAACAAAAACAAAACAAAAAAGGGAGTGTTGATTACAAATTCACTGTGACTTTTAAAAGATAACCTTCCTATTTTAAATAAATATCAATTTTATTAGTTTTTAAATTATTGATGAAGGTCATTTGGTGGATGTATACATAAGTAGAAGTCCTTTCAATATTTAACGTCACTTGAGAATTAACCAATTTGTATCATATTTTGGCAGTGAAGCCAATTAACAATGGTTTGTCAAGTTTGAACAAAAATACCATTGCTTTGGTCATGGAAATACATCTAACCAACTTGGGGGAAAAAAAGGTAGTTTTGATATCAAATTTGCCTTGCTTGTAATGTTACCTTGTACAGTTTCATACTTGCGTAGTTATACATGTATGTAAAATAAAACTCAAAGTGCTTCCAAGCAGAGGCTCAATATTTGTACAACTGTATCAAATTGAAAGTCACACTGAATGTTTCAGGTTTATGGCGTTACTTTCCCCTTTAGTGTTTATAACGTGACTATGACTAAGTCTGTGAAGACCGCGAAAAACATTAGGGGGAAACAGGGAGAAATGTAGACATGAGATATGTGAGATCACCTGATGTCAATTTGGTATAAAAGACTTATACCCAACTCGTTTTGTTTTGCAGTGTTAAAGCTCCCAATGCAATTTGTTTATTGATCCCTCTTTTTTCTTTCTCAGGCCCGTCATAAATTACAATCTTTCAATCAAATTCAAATAGTAGATTCTTTGCCGAACTGTGAGTTCTTTTTCACATGATATTAATGTGAACAAAATACAAGGTAAATGTGAACACTAACAAAACACAACGGATCTGCTAAACCAAAACCTTTAAAATATTAAACAAAACTAAATGTACTCACTCAAAAATTTCAAAACTTCTCCCCAAAAGTAAGGTTTCTGATAAGTTGGCTTTTCATCTGTTGAGCATAAAACTCAACACTCATTTTCTAAACCCCCCCCCCTAAAAAAAAACTTGAAGGGTTTCACACACACACACACAAAAACCAGCACACAAGAACATTTCAAATGCAGGATTCTGCTGCTGCAGTGGATCAATGAATTTAGTTTGGTTTAATTAATCATTTCTCTTTCTATAAAATCCTCTTTTTAAGAAAAAAATAGGGAGGAAAATAAGCAGAATCTTTGGGTGAGACATAAATGTTAAAAGTAAAAGTAGTCTCTGGAGCCGAGGTGATTGTTATCCCTCGGCCTCTCCTCGGAGGAAATACTCCATAAACCTTGGGAGACTAGTTTTACTACACTCAAAAGCAGTCAATATTGGTATATTATCCTGTTTGCTTCAGGCTCAGTTGTAACTATTAACTGATTGAAGGAAAGTAAATGTACATGTAATTTGCAGACTCTACAAACTAGTCAGACCACAATGACGCAGGCCCAGATTATGAGATAGCCTTCGTAATGTACATTGTAATACTTCTCTCATTAGGAACATAACTAATCACTCATGAATACAGGGTTTCTTTTTTCTACTTTTGAAGAACTTCAAAACCTTTATATTGACAAAGGATAATAATGTGGCTCATGAGTTCATAAACTGTAACCAGTTACATCCTGCAAAAACTTAGCTTAACATTTCTTTCAGCTTTATGCTAATATAGCTATTCATATAACCTAATAACTCTTGAAACACAGAAAAAAATGTGTTCAACCTGAAGGTCAATTGACAAAGCACTGAGTCATTTAAGGAACTTACACTGCCAAGCACCTTCAAAGGCACTTTTGTTGAAAGAGGGGGAGGAAATTAAAATATTTAATATTATGTAACACCCAAGTAAATCCTTGTCATGTGATTGGAGGATTGTAGGTCACGCGGCATTCATTAATCAACCATTGCATGGCCTACGTCATAACCATGCATTTTTGGTTCCATTGACCGTGCCTTTTTGTTCCATTCCTTTTGATCTATTGCATGCACACGCTAGATCGTGTAGCACAGCGCAAAGACGCGCAGCTATACAACCACATCATGCGTTTTATTCAGCAGCACAAAATTTGCCATTGAAGTGGATGCAGTTACGAAATGAACTTACTGATTTTCTTTTGCATTGTTTTAAAAACTTACAATATTAACTTTCATATTGTTACTTGACTTTTAAACCTTTGTTAGCCTTGAACAAACTGGAAAAAAAGTTGTGGATATAATACAATTTTGTGAATTTTTGTTTGTTCTTATAGTTTTATCCTCCAATCGAATGACAAAGATCTACTTGGATGTTATATAAAACAAATAATGAATGTTTTGCACTCGTGCAATGGAGAGAAAATATTCATTTGTTGAAAGATGGAATGTTCCATTCAACTCGGCTTCACCTCGTTGAATGGAACATTCCATCTTTCAACTCATGAAAATATTTTTACCATTGCACTCATCAACGGTAATTATTTGTATACTATTAAGCAGCGGTAGACAAACCTCTGCTAGGAAAGACTGCTTTCCAAGAAGCAAATTTTTAGGAGTAAAATTGTTCATGTGCTGGCAGCATGCATGACTTATCTGGGAGAAAGTAACTTTTTTGTCATCACCCCAGTACGTTTTTAAGAAAGGAGAGGGCTTATCCAGAGGGTTTAGATAACATACACACTCTTTTAAGTAGTAATAATCATCTATCATGATAAACACAGTAACTCTTGAATCTATCCAGCATTGAAGTCCCAACATGAAGCCAAGCAGTCCACTGCATAGATAGCCTTGATCCAAGACTGGATTTGCATGTTACAGACCTTTATCATGCTGCCACCATTTCAGTCATGTTCCCTGTATCCAATAACAGTACTGAATGATCATTTTTTTTGTGCAAAAGGGAACCAGACTATTTTTCCTTCCAGCCTTTGGTTACATTGATTTGAATAGGAAAAAATCAAACGGCTGCAACATGATAATGGTCTGTTCCCCAAATACAGCCGGTCCGTGACAAGTATGGTAAAGATGCAGACATTTCTGAGCACACCTCACACACACGCTGCATTCAAGCTAATACACGGGTGTGAGGTGTGCTTTGAACTCTATGGGTAGCCCTGCCGAACTTCCCAAGACTGCATTTCAATCATCCTGACGATAGCGACCTTTACTGCTGAGGTGGCTCTACAACTGTCGGGGTCTGGCTGTATTACAGGAATAACATCAAACTCTACTCATAGACCAAGCCCACTGCTTAAAATGCCTGCATAAGACTGTCGGGTGTAAATTCTTTAAAATGCCCCCAAAATATTGATAAATTGTCATAAAAAGAAAAATCAATCACAGTACACATCCCAAAACTTATTTATGATGCTATTCCTACAATATCAAGCATACAATTTAAAACCCTACACTCTCTCCACACAAAACTCCATAAAATTTATAACACATTTTTTGTGTACAAAGCACCATACAAAAGCACAACAGCAGACGTTTTGCACTGTACAAGCTATACAATGAACTTTACATAACCATCTATTGCACTGAAGAAATATAGGTGTATTATACAGGTATTTACAACAAAGGCACATCTTTCGAAGTAAGAAACCATTAGTCACTGTTTTTTGTTCTTCTTTATAAAACCTTAATGCAATGAAAATCGGAATGATCAGTAGTTTTTTTCAACTGGGTAAAATACAATGCAAGTACCAAGTACATTTTTGTGACATACCTATAGGCCCAAAAAAAAATCAAGGTCAAAAATATAATCGATAAAATACTTAATACCTTAAAATTGTCTTCCTCAGAAAAATAAAGATTGATTGCAAAATTTCAAAGGGTGCAATGCATGATTCAAAGTTAAAACCTGATTCACTGTGGCCCAAATCTTGAGTTTCCCCACAGATTGTGCCACAATCTTATAAGTACCGGTAGTGGTTTAATAATAATATTGTTGATTTATATAGCACAGATATCAATCAAAAAGGTAATCATGGCGCGGTACAATATTAATACCCCAGCTAACCGGATCAATGAAAATATTCCAAAGACTATCTATCCCTGGGGAGTACAATGCACACAGCTGAATGCTGCCATATCGGTACAATCGGCTAAATTAAACACATGACCATCTCTGCCCTCACATGTACCCATTTACTCCTGGGTGGTGAGAAGCAAAGAGTGACAAAGTGTCTTGCCAATGGGCACAAGCACCACAAACCCAGGCTGGACTCGAACCCACAACCTGTGAATTTACCCACAAGAGGCCATGGTACTCAACAAGATTCAACAAGGCCGTGGAATTTTCTGTTCGTCAATAAATACTGCAAAATCAGTCTTGTACTTAGCAAAGCTCGAAAATGTGACCTGCAACGTTATAAAGAAACTAACAGTGTTGACTGTTTTAAGATTCCATCCGATTTGAAATGTTATCTCAGTTGTTGCGTTCATTTCAATCAGAGAATCATAAATATTTTTTTTATTTCAAAATAAGTACCATAGAGTTTTTAGTAGATTTCAGACACTTAAATATGTATCTGATCCAATCTTCAGGGGTTCAAAAAATGTTTACAAATTTTGCTCCAACTTCTAGACACAGTCCTGCCCTGAAGTGTCTGTCCTTTTTACGAAACCAAAACTGATGACTTTACTGCACTCGATGAGTGAGCAAATGTTCCCATGCTAAATTTCAAAACATTTCAAATCACAGCACAGAACTGCATATACTGATTATGTGGACTACACAACGGACCTTATTTACAAATCAAAAGCAAATCTGCTTGATGGGCTCAAGTTTGGTCAAATTGTACAAGGCTCCTGCAAGCGTCATTTGGAAATTTCATCTATTGCACTTAACCCCTTAATAAAATTTTAAGAAACAGGCAAACTTTCCTTTGTCCTTTGCCAAATTTCCTAAGCTCACTTTTTTTGTTCATTAATTAAAGCTATGTTTGTTAAGCTAACCTAGACTACAGCAGTCACGTCATGTCAGCTACAATGTCTTTTCAGTGACTGTTCTAGCTCTAGTCTTTGGGTGAGGGATTCTGTGCAAATTACAGTCAAATTCCTCTTGAAGTCACATACAGTGACTTGTGTATGCTGTACAGCCTATGCAAGCTGCTTGTCTGAATCTAGAGTTTATAGTGTAAATTGGCTCAACTAGCCAAGAGTACAATATCCCAGACACTACGGACGCCATGCATGAACAGCAGCTGGCCCGTCATGAACAATCCTGAGAGCTCCGTGACAGGTTACACTGTGTGTACGTTCACTGGGTGGCACACATATGGCTTGAAGTATGTATGATTAATTGTGCATAACTCTGTATCAAACTTCGCGCAAGTGCTTGGCATACAGTGCCAGAGCGCTTGAACTTCTCCTCTGGTTGTAACTGAGTGAGGTGTACTTGTGCATACAGTCGTGTTTTACTACACACCTGAGGACAATGCTTTGTGTTTCCCTTTGTCCCCGTAATATAGCACGATCCCATAGACTAAGCACATAACCATACGATCGAGGACCGTTTTCAACAAAAGACCCAACACCCAAGGACTGAAAGGATCTGTTGTTCTCCCTTTGTGTGTCTGTCCTCAGGGGTTATGTAGTACCTGTACACAGAGTCCGACTCAATACACAAGAAACTTGAAACTGCTTATAGTATGGCACAGACTACACAATTAGTGACTGCAGCCCGTGGGGCCTGTCGTTGCTCTCCCTCAGCCGTCTCGCCGTCTTGCCCCTGTTGCTGCTGCTGCTGTTGCTGCACGCGTGACGAAGGCAACAATGGCTGTGAAGTCTGGGAACCATTCGCCGAGGCAGTCTCTGCTGTACAGTGATCGGAACCAGCCCGTTCAATCTGTAAAATTGGCTTGGGCTCGACGGGGTTGGCGTGCGGGCGGATCTGACTGATGATGTCATTGTATTTAGTCTCGATATCAGCCTTGCGTCCCGACCCGCCGTGACCTCCCACCCCTGCGTAATGTAACAAATCAGAAAGGGAATTTGATTGGTCAACTGGTATCAAGGTCAAAGATTAAGATTTCTAACACAGCATTTCTTTATGCAACAGTGTGGCAACGGAACAATTATAATCTCAAAATGTTTTGATGGAAGTTTTAGTACTCAATGATATTCTGCTGGCAGTGTACATAGTGACTGGCAACCGCAGTTGGAATTGATCCATGATCCATTTACTATGAAAGGTAAGAATACATCCAGACTGTTGTAGTCATGTACCTAGCCCATCACATGTCTGGTCACCAGTCAATTCACAAGTTCCATCACACGTAACAGGATAAACAATTCCAAGGAATGCTTTTGTTACAATGCATAGGCTGTGACTTGTCTAGGATTTGAATGACTTGTGATTTGACTGGCGAGGACTTGTGCTGGAACGTGCTAACTTGTGCGATACACTACTGAACATCCACTACACCACAGAGTCAGAATTATAATAAATAATTTTCAAGTCTCTAATCTTTTGACCATACTCGTTTCGAAATTGTAACATGGAAATGAACATTAAGAATCAAAGACAGCACAGAAGTAGGCAAGATTTAATATTAATATTCAATGAGAGTGCTATTACAGAACAATGTAACTAAAGACACATCATATTAAAGCAGTTTATGACTGAGTTCAGTGCTGTTGTCGAGACCTTTTCTGAGACCTCACAAAAATGATTATGTAATGGAATGTCAGATTGGAGTCAAGTGTAATGTGAATGAGGAAAGACTCTCAGTGCCTTGACTTAATAAATAATATCAGTTGGATTGGGTTGGTTTGGTTGGTTTGGTTTGTTACCCCATATGACAGATATACAGAAATAGTCCAAAACCTCCGTGGGCTCTTTTAAGAACTCTTTCAAAGAGTATCTTATCTCCCAATATGTAGCATTGATTTTTATCTCCTTTGGTTTGTTCTCCAGAGTTGCCATCTCTCTTGCAGTTTTTACGTTTTTATTCCCCAGTCATTTTTTAAATCTATTTCTGGTCAGAATACTTTGTCCTCTTGTTTATCTTTGTCTTTGACTTAATCAACTAACTATTTGATTATTTCATGTCTTTGTTCTCTTTTCTAAAGGCACTCCGCTACAAGCCTTGGCTTATTAGGATTGTGCCTCCACAATATTGTATTTTGCTTTCTATTATGTTATTGTTCAGTATGGAAATAAATGTAATATTGAACTGAATTGAATTGAATTGAAATACACAAAACTCACAAGATTTAACAATATATCTGTATTACAGTAGGTAAAAGGACTAGAAAATAGCATACTTGCTACTCAAGTCTAGCCCTTAACACCGCATATGTTACTGTATAGTTTAAAATAAACATTTTATTGAAAAAGGTCTAGTAAAGGTTTCGGACAGATTTGACTCTCAATAAGGCATTTTTGCCTGAACTTGAAGTATAGTTATATGACTTTTTGTCTGCAAATTTCAATAAGTGATAAAAATGAGTGAGGTCTTGGTAGATCTCAGAAAGGTCTCGACTACATCACAGATTGAATTTCAAAGGCAAGTCCGTGACAGTAATGAGTGACCTACCGTGGATATCAACGTAGATCAGCCGTGAGAAGATGAGTGCCAGCCCACCAGGGGGAGGCCACGGCACCTTGCCAAACATGACTGGAATGATAGGCTTCTTCAAGAGATCGGCAAGACAGACCTCCCTATTGCAGCTCTCTGAGAGGACGTACTGTGGAGTCACACAGACGAGGACAGCCTGCAAAGAATGATCGGACCAGATAGAGGCTTGTAAGGCTTAGATGAGTGTCCAGAATATTGCTCTTTGGTATGGAACCCTTGTGCTAAAATATTACAAGTGAGTGTCCTGTGGTTGGGGGGGGGGGGGAATTGAGTGCTTCACGTTCAGGCAGAGTTGTAATGACTCGAGTCAATGACTTAACTCGAGTCCGACTCGAGTCACAATTTTTGGTGACTCGACTCGACTCGAGTCCCTAAGGGTAAATGACTTGACTTGACTCCAGTCACTGCAAGTAAATGACTCGACTCGACTCGAGTCCCTCATCAGAAGACTCGACTTGACTCGAGTGAAGGCTAATAAGACTCGAGTCCCAAAAATAAAAGCACAACTTTGCGAAAAGTATTTGCAATGACTTACGGTGCAAAATTTATGCTCACTTTACTTTGCGAATAGCAGTCATGTACAAATATACAACGTGTCACAGACTCCCACCTCATGGTTCTAGAACGCACAAAATACTATCCAGGAACCAGATTTTTAAACACACTTTCTAATTCGCTGTTTTATCATTGGTTTTTGGGCGATTTCTTATAAAGCTCTTGGATTCGAATGCTGGCTAAACTTATGGCCTCTTTTATAAATTTTGGTAAAGTGTTCAAATATTCGTGACTCGAATTGGCTCAAGCTAAATATTTGACTCGACTCGACTCGACCTTTTGACCTAATGACTCAACTTGATGACTCAAATTTATTTCCAATAAAAGGTGACTCGTGAATCGGGATCGAACTCAACGCTCAGGTAGTACACACACACTCCTGGCTACTTCGACCAATAGGAATACCAAAAAGCGCACATGCCTCGTCTTTAATAAAGCATGCAGCATGCGCATGAGCATGACACCACCGCAGTAAAAGCTTCTAATTCTGATCACCGGATTCCACTTTAAGGTACACAACTGCACCGGTATATCCCTTAAAATCTGATGCAACATACCTTAGCATTGCGGATGCCTTCGTATATCTTGGCATACAGGGCATCTCCTCCACCCATCTGACCAATGTCCATCCAGCAAGGAAAGCCCGCCCTCTCTAGGTGGTCACGCATCAGGCAGACCTCCTCCTGTATACCCCAATTGTAGCTGATGAAAACAGTTGGTGCTGGGGCGTTAGATTCTACAAATGACAAAAAACAACATACTGGTAAGTTGTGTATCAATTAATAATTCAGTCTTAACTTGTTTAGAAGTCAGAAGCTGATATTGAGACAAATACTCCTTTAGACACAGATTTTCGTAAGCTGAATAGCAAAAATACTGTAACCAAACTTGTCACATGGCAGGGCTGCCCGCAGCAACAGTTAGACAACAATTTGCCAAGGTGTATTTTTAGATCTGCCTGGCTTTACTTTGTTATACTTTTTGGTGCACGACAGGAACACACTTTTGCTTTTTAGTCATCAGTATGACGGCACTACGACAGCGTGTCAACTTCACTACTTTTTGTGTGCCTGGTGTCATTTTGTTAGCCCTCCTTTGTCAACCTCAAATAACTTCAAAGAAGGCCCAGACTGCTACCCCATGTTACAATACATTACTGTGAATCCCTTGAAAACTTGCATTAGAGTAACTTTTACAAAACACTGACAAATCGGAACATAATATCAGAGGGTGAAATTGGACGCAATATACTACACCACCAACATTTGTTCAGATATATATAGAATTTTTGAAAAATGTCCCATGTCTGGCTGTAATTTCGTCTTCTGAATATGTTTTTCACATAGGGCAGGAGGAGGCAGGGGAGGGGAGTGAATTAAAGCCTTGACTGTCCACTGACCTTGACCTTTCTGAATGACATCAATGACATCCTCTCGCTGCATCTGTTCTAGATAAGAAACCATCATCTCCAGGGAGAGGGCTGTGTTACCACTGTTCTGGATCCAATCCAGTATAAGGACCAGGGCGGGGTTCAGCTCATCTTGAAACTTCTGGATCTTGGCTTTCTTGTAACCTAGGCAACAGAAGACAGAATGAGGTTGTTGTGTCAATGATAATGCAAATAAAGGTACAGCTTTTATTGAAGAAATAGGATGGTGGAAATCATAAAGACAAGAAATTAACAAATCTTTTTATACAAGCAGCAAGAAACTTTGGATGCTGCAAGTCCTCTGTTCATCAACAAATCAGCTCACAATATAAACTCCAAATTTAAATGCTGGGTTTTGCTCTTCACCCAAATTATGTTACAGGTAATGTACACTCAGTGCTGTCTGACAGCTTGTGATCAAAATCCACAAACTTGGGTGGCAATCGAACCCAGGACCTCCTGATTACTGGTGCAGATGTCTCAACCTCCACCATTGAGCTGCAACGTCGGCTGGCCAGATCCAGTCTGATATTGCAGGGGGTACCACAATCAGTTCATGGACAAATATTAATCATGTCATAATCGCAACAGGCCAATTGTAATGGATAAAAGTTGCAGAGTTTGAACAACTTCCCTGCAGTGAAGTCATCAGCATTCTTTAAAAAAAACTGATAACTTCAATGTTGGAAGATTTTTTGGGGGAAAGGTGTTCAGAATCCTGAAACTAATATCCAGATATGACTCACCTAGTGCAGACAAATTGTCTGCAACTCATCCTGGAATACCCTCGACCATCCCACATCCATCAAAATCCACACCCTGTTTTTGTTGGATCTTGGTAGATATCGTACAGTTTCATATAAGCCATGTCGTTCATTAGTTTTCAGTTTCCATATAACTGAATCCATCAAAATCCGCCAGCACTGTCACTGGTGGATTTTGGCAGATTTAGTAGTGAATCTTTTTGTGCCCCCAACTCTGATTAAATTTTGATGGATTTTGGTGGACTTGGGAAGGCTCCCAGTATTTAAACCCAGGGAGTTAGGGTTAATGAGATGATGACTTACCTAGCTTTGTAGCCAACGCCAGCCAATCTGATCCATCGCATCCAGAATTCAGCAACTTGCTGGCAGCCTTCACCCAGGGTGGAATGTTGTCTTCAGTTATCTTGTCTTTGCGACTAGGTGTGGTCAGGGTCAAAGGCACTACAAGCAAGCAACACAACAAATTATAAAGCCTTCCAAAGACGTGAAGAATTGTAACTTCAGATTATATAAATCAGACTTTACAATGATATTAATGGTTTTAACAAGCCTAAAATATTTTTCCAACAGAAGCTAATGTTGCACACCAATAGCCAATACAACCCTTTTAACAACTGCATGGAAATGAATTGAAGTAAAGTGCCTTGCCCAAGGACACAGGCAGTATGATCCTTTTGGCAAGGTTCCAAACCTCATGCAAATGATTCTGAAAACAAAGACAATAAAACATGAATTCCAGCCAAGTCCTTCCCCAAAAATGTCCATGATATATTACTTAATAGTCCACGTTTAGGACTCTCTGAGCTAGGGAACTGCCACATTAAAATTGCATTCCCTGTAATCTTTTCAAGTTTCTTCCCGAAAAATAGATTCCTTTTCTAAATTACAATTTTTCTAGCCATACAACAGTTACTCACTATTGAATGAGACATCGACCGAAAATTGAATTACTACTTTTCAATTGCAAATTATTGGCTGCCAGACAATAATTCCCGTTGTCATGGAGCAGGCTGGTTCCTGCCCCACACACAGTATCGTTAATGTATGGACCAGAGCCAGTCTGCTCACAACGTGGATCTGATTGTTAAATTGTCTTTAAAGGGAATATTCAACATTTACTTTTGCTGTAATTTTCAGAAATGGATGGGTTTGGGGGCTAGCATTTTATAGTAAATATTGTTACACTGACTTGTTTGACGTTTTGGGTTCGTAGATGCTGGAAAAACCAAGAAAAACAATCATGTTCTTGTAGTCTGGTTCCCTGACCCCACTCAAGATGAAACAGAGCAATTTATAGACGTCGGGGAATTGTAAGGTTAGGGAATCAGTCTAGCTGGCTTGTACCCGTTCACAGTTGTGTTATCGATTGCAAAGAAAATGCAGACTAACTAAATATGATAAAATACATTGTAAGGAGCAGTATTTGAAAAACCCAGTTTTTTTCCCAACGCTGATTGGCCAGCCAGCGTTGGAAATCGATACAAAAATACCACTATTCTTGTAAATGTCAGCACATCAGGTGCCATGATTTTACAGCATGCTTTAGACTGTCATTCACTAACAGTCCAGTAAGGTATTTCGTGATAATTTGGTAGTTTTTTAATGTTTGCAAATGTTGTATATTCCCTTTAATCTGAAAATGTTGTATTCAAACATTGATGTTGAAAACCGGTTCATATATATCAGAAATATGAAGCAGATTGTTTATCACAAACCCTTCAAAGTGAAATTCGCCCGACTCTCCTTGATTTTGCAGCGCAAATATTTGCAGTGAAATCATGAAATTTCATTACCTATAGTTGGCTTTTCCTTGGGAAACCACTTCCTGAACGTGCTGGTCTTGACCTGTCTGTGTTCACACATGACAAAGCTGCTGGCTAGACACTCATCCAGGTTCAGGAAGTGAAGGCAGGTGGGGCGTTTGCATCCCTCCGTGCCGTGGAGGCTACAGCGTTTGCTGCATGGGCAGGTGACTGAGAAGCAGTGGGACAGACGCTTCATCCAGGAGGCTCGCAGGTCAGACAGGGCTGAGTCTAAGAAATGACGCACCTGTAACAGAGGGGCGGAGAAAGTCCATGAGAAAAGTGGTGAAATCATACAGACAGCAACATGCAACAGGGGCAAAGATGCTTGTCACTGATTAACTTAGCAGTGATGCAGTTGAAACCTTTTTAAAGACCTTTTACATTTTCATACACAAAATAAGTAACCGAATTATTCTATATTTTCATTTTTGATAAAGATTACTGGTATTTGTGTCAAGATTCATAGTCAGGGAGAATATGTGTTGTTTTTGTTTTCAGAGCCAAAATGTCACAAAGACCTTTTCGAGACCTCTAAACATCTGTTTCCTAATAAAATAGAAATTCTAAAACCTACATTGACATTAAAACCCAACAGTTTCATATGTTGACAATCAGAACATTGAGATTCTTTTCACATTGGACTAAAATCAAATTGCTTGCCCTGACACTGGATGATTTGCATATTTATCTTGCATCTTATAATCAGGTGTGGGAATAGTCAGGTGCCTTTACAATATTGCGAGTCCATTTGGGTTTTTAAAGGCAGGGTTCAGAGTTCAGACTGCATCAATTCATCATGGCATCAGATTAGAAAAACATGTTTAAACAAAAGCAAAGTTGTATGTGATAATCACATCAAACCCATCCAACAAGCACTATTACACTAAATACATGTAAGACAATAATACACTAAATATGATAAGTACAATAGAAAAGGAAGAATTGTTTGAAAGGAAGATTGGGCATACATGTCACTCAAACTAAATCACGCAGGTACACGATACAAAGCCATTATGTGCTATTGTAGAATGGAATCAGAATACAGGGAGCAATTAATCATCTCAGGGGCTTCTGTTATCATCGATGCTGATCTCGGTCTTACCTTAGCACAAGCCTTCTGTCCTACTGGTCCCTTGGATGACATCCTTCGTGATCCACCCTCATCTGATCTCTCTGCCTTCATCACAGTCACCTTACAAGTCAATGAAAATAAAAGGCAAGGGCTGAATATTATCCCTGATCCCATTAGGCACCACACAGGGTTCCCACAGAAATATTAACATTAAATTCCATAACTTTTCCAGGACAATATTAGGGTTTCCATGACCAATTCCTACGCATCTTAAGAGCCTATTTACAATACACTGGTCAGTCATCAGAAGGGATGCCACTACCTTTCGGCCTTCAAGTTTGACACAAGACCTCTGAGCACCACAAAGCTTCACAATGCAAGCTGGAAGACTGCCATAGCCCAGGTGTATCATCTCGCGTGGATTGTGCAAGATTCCATGAATTTTTCTTAGAATCACTTTTCCATGACTCTTTATAAAATAACAGAATTTCATAAATAGATGCTAATTGGGACATGTGGTATCAATGAAAAACTATCTTCAAGCATTATTTTATCAATATTAAGGCGATTCTTCAGAAATTGAACCTCAATTAATTTTTGGGAGGAAAAAGTTCTTTATGCGATGATATGCAAATGATTATTTTTCTCTAAAGTGTTGCTAGTAAGTAAAGATGCAAATTTCTAAAAATGTTTCAGAAGTTGGTCTTAATGTGCATAAATTAGCATAAATTTAATTACAAAATGTCACACACATGACCACAGAACAATTCCCATTTAGTAAAACTACAGCAGAGTTGGACATTGTTTATGCATTCTGTAAATCACAACAGACTAGTCTTACTCCAAAATTAGTATGCGTGTGTCTGCCCTAGAAACTTTAGAGAAAAATGTGAATTTCCGATATGGATTTTTACGTCTGATGTAACAGCCGCGTGATCAGACTTTGATGACCCCTCCTAATATTTTGACACAATGTTTGAAAGTAGAAACTATACTCGGAGATAGGGAGTAAAAAGTACTAACCTGATGAGTATGTCAGGTGTAGTTACCAAAAGGTAAAGCTTCAAAATTCAGAAGAGCCCGATTTTATGTCACACACGTGACTAAGAATGGCCCATTAAACAACCTGGTTTAAAGGGAAATCATTTCATGTCCACATTTCACTGGCTATTATTTTACTCAATTGCCAAATTAATGTTTTTTACAATCCAACTTTACACACAAAATTAAATCTCATTGTAAGTTTATAAGACCACATCATTTCCACTCGGAACTGTTTTTCTATCCAAATGAAATGTGCCGACTCCCAAACCTGACAAGAATATCTGTGATCTGCACTTACCTTGAGTCGAGCAAATCGTACCGGCGCCATCTCCAAGACAAAGTCCTGCTGCTCGTCCACAAAGAACCGGGCCTGTCTGTAGGTCAGCTTTGGTGACTGGTCCCCATGCTCTTGGGACCAACGACAGGCATGAACCACCAGGCGATGGAACAAACCAACTATGAACATAGGAAAACAAGAATAGGGCTCATAAGGGACGGTTTCAAAATCTGAATTGAGGGGACATATTTTAACATGCAAATTATAAAAACAGTAGTCAAAAGATAATTAAAAAGCGCCTTCAAAATTCTAGACCAACCCTTTTTCTTGAGGGCCTTTTTCTTTTTTTTAAAGCAGTGTTTATATAAGTTCCCAGGAAAACTTTGCTATGGAATAAACCAACTAAAAACAGAAGAAAACAGGAAATGGCTGAAATTGAAGGCTCATCCAAACTGGGATCAATCTGAAACTAAGAACGCAACAGTCAACGAGTTCTCTCAAGAACATCCAGACCAATTTTCTTTAATTTACAACACTATACCTGGTAGAAAACCTCCGAATGTGATGTAGAAGACCACCGCAGTCTTAGCATCAGTCACTAGTTCTTCTCTGTTGGTCATTTCCTTGAGACAGGATGGCATGTAGTATAACATCTGCATCACGGGAAAAATAAATCCTTATTTTGGGTGACATTCAATGGACTCGATCAGGAACAGTCAACATTTCCACCTACAAAAAATCTGCATATATATTAAGATATCAAACTGAGTGATGTATCAAACTAAAGAGCAGAGTATACTCTTTCCACTTCACATGACAAACCAAAAAGTGAAGGGAAACAAGTCTGTAAGACCTACTTCGTGGGATATGGTCACAAATAAAGAATAGAATCAAGACTTGATTACTTGGAGAAGATGTTATATTTCCCTGATACATGCAACCTATGTTGCATCTACAGCCTTAAGAGATCTCCCCGATTCAGGACACACACTCTCTCTCTCTCTACTTACCTGTCCCTTAGCCTTGTGGTCTCGGCACAGTAAATCAAACTTCTCCATCAGTCCCAGCAGAGCCGGTTTCTGCTCCAACGTCTCTGCCCAGAGATGGTCTACTAGTCGATCCTCTAGGATGCCTTGTTCCTGGAGATGCTTCCAACATGGAGCAAACTACAAGAGACCAACACAACAAACTCTCCTCAGGCTGAATAAAAACACGGCTGCATTTCTAAAACTATCCTTGTACTTTTTCAATCATCTCACACTGATACTGATAACTATACATTTAAAGGCACAAAGGGTCATTTGCAATTAGTGAATTTTTTTCCGTTAGAAGCAACAAAATTGCTCAAAATCTTAAGTACGATGATAAAAAAGAACGTGTTGTAGTTTCAGCTTAGTGGATACTATACCTCAGAAACAGGGAAAACGTAAGCACCACTTTTGGTCTCCTAAGAGGTTCCATGGATAGCACTTCCGATTAAAAAAGATGCTGTTGCGTATCATGAACTGCACTTTCTCGTTTACAATCCCTAACTCAGCTCTCATAGTATTGAACAAATACTAAGTATTAAAAAAATGTGCCTGTTTCGTTTTCTTCCAAAAAAAATATCATTTAAGGTAGAATAACTTCACATATTTTCACTTTGAACAAGAATTTCTCATTGAACCAGCAGGTCCTTTTTCAGGTAAAAACTAACATTCCTTCATGCCTTTAAAAATGCGTGCACCAAGTATGTTTTCATGCCTAGGGTCTTTTTGAAAAGTCTAGAAAATGTTTAGTCAACTGACCTCAGCATCCTCCTGATTGGCCACAGTGATTTTCTTGAAGACCTCCACCAACCAATGGGGTCTGAGGATGATCATATTCTGAAGGGATGCATCCGATGACCCCGGCACTGGGTTGTAGATAACCACTCCCAAATCATGATAGAACTGTAGCATGGTAGCCACGCCCTGATCAGAGGACACGCCCACATCACCTGCCATCTGTCTCATCTGAATAATGGATGACAAACAAATTCATGAGACGTTCAATTTAAAAAAAAATTTAATCATCATCTCGGCAAGCACTATAGACAGCTCCAGCTGAAACTTTACTGATTGAACTGTTTGGAAGGTCGATGCAAAAAATTGCAATTTTAGGAGAAAAGTATCAAGGCTTGGTAGTTAATAATAATAGTAACCGTATTTACATAGCGCTTTTTCCAAAGGATACAAAGCGCTGGGTGAGAATGCAACCAAAGACAGGTATAAGTATATGAACATATGAGACCCATTATGTGGCACCTTTTTGCTAGCTGCTGCAGCGCATATTGCTGCCACTGCCAGAAACACCGGGGCAAACCCCTTCTCTTAGCGACAAGTGTTACTGGGTTCTTTAACGTGCATTACACAACACACAGGACCTACGGCTTTACATCCCATCCGAAGGACGAAGCAATAATGGTAAAGTGCCTTGCTCAAGAGCACAAGCACCATGTTCCCACGTTCAGAATTTGAACCCATGTACCACGGCACACGAGTGGAACTCCGTAACCATTGGACCACAGCGCCCCCTTGTATTGTATTTGTTGGCTATTTGTAGTTTCACGCCTGTTTAGCCAGGCACTCAAGAGTCATGCCAAAAACTAAATTTAATCAAAAGATTTGAATTAAGTTGAATGTTTGAAACAGGAGCAACTACACGCACAAGATGTTGAAAGATCAATTGTTGAGTCATTCGCAATAACTCAACCACAGCACGTCTTGGTTTTGATGTTGCTATAGGACATGGTAAATTAATGCACTGAGTTCGCCTGTCTGACACTAACTTTTAGTGCAATTCTGGAACATCAGTGTGAAAAGGGTGTTACCTTTGTTTGAATCTGAGGAAATTTAAAGAAATTACAATTGCATGTGTAGAACTCCCCAGCTTCAATCTGAATAATAACTGAACCTTTGTTTCTCCAGTACAAGTGTGGGCCGGTTCTAAGTTGGCACAAATGCAAATGTGTGTGCAAATTTGTGACATTACTCCAACATTTTGCACTGCAAATTTCGCAAAAGTTGAACACATTTCAACTGTGGCGAATTTCGTAGCGAATGTTTTGTGATGGCAACTTCGCTTTGCATTTGTATTCACGTGAAGTGTTAGCCTTCTGGTGCTGGAACCCACCTTTTCACTGGGCAAGTAGTTGGTGCCTTTCATGACCACTTCAGCCAAGCTGTGCTCAAACCGTAGCCATTTGAGTGGGATGTGTTCTCCCATGTACGGCTCCTTCGTCGCTACTGACTCAATGCACTCCCTCAACTTGACAATCTGTGAAACCAAATAAATGGTCATCATGTCATACAGATCTGGGGCCAAAAGTGAGGGTGTAAACTAGCGAATAGTTATTCATTGGTAGGCATGCGGATCTAAAATTAGTTATGCATGCATCACACCTGTTGACATTCAAAATGTCATGCCTGTAAACTTAACCCTAACCTTCCCAAATCCTCCCAAATCCTCTTCGCACAAGTGGAGGATTTCAAAGGACTGAGGCTGATTCAAAGGATGAATGTTTCATTAGATTTTGGAAGATGCATTGTGCAAAGGTCTAGGCTGTTTATGCTTAGCCACGCATAAAGTTAGGCCTAGATTACACAGTAAACTCTGGCTATACAGTAAACTCCGGCTAAACCGGCACTCTCGGGACCCGAGAATTTGTGACGACTTACGCGAATGCCAATATCAGCTGTAAGTCGTCATTTTGCCGACTTACATGAATGGTATGCACACATGATTCATTGCACTAATTGGCTACGATTTACCCTGGATTATCTCCTTAATGCTTGAGTTGAATCCAACAAATTAATCCTCAAATTGTATCATCAGGTTTGGGGTATTGATAGTGGAGACCACGATACATATGTACGTGCACAGTAACGAATTAAATGCGTGCGTGGTCCTGTATATACCACTCACGCATTGACCGCAGCAGAAGTCATTCAATAAGACAACCCCCAAAATGGACAGAGCGCATGCGTACAGCCTAGAGGGGGTACTGGTATTGATATGCTTACGATGCATATGCGATGTATGCAGTAGGACACCATTTTTCGACACCGATGCATGCAGCGATCACGGGCCGTGCGAAACCACTTTTCACTCGACGCTTTGCCACCCGCAGTACAGGAAGACGATGCCAATGCATGATTTGTTGAATGCCGACTTACACAAAAGATTTTGTAATGCTTTTTATGGAATGGGGACCGGGAGTAACACGACGACTTGAGCGAAATGGCAACTTATAAAGGCCGACTTAGAAATAAAAAATTCAATGGAAATTTGGGATTTGAAATTTGGAAATTTGAGCGATTTGACGAGTTGTACGATGTCGGATTAGCCGGAGTTTACTGTACTTGAAATCATCCGTACTTCTCAAGGATATCATCAGCACTGCCTCAACGTATTAACCATGATTGTTGGAAAAATTTGCAGGATTGAGGCAGTGGTCACCCCTCCAATGAACAAATTCAAGAAATAATGGAGGATTTTAGAGGATTGAGGCTGTATGCAATTTCACATGGCCGCCGTTGGAGGATTTAAAAGGATTGAGGGAGTATCTTGGCAACAAGGCCTAGGGAATTAGGGTTAAAGAGTTTGTCTTTTGAGAAACGAACAACTAAAAACCATTTGATGGGCAGAAGAGAAAATGGGAAAAACTGGACAATTCAAGAAACTGTACCTCCTCATCTGTGTTGTCTGCACAGTTCTCAACGGCAAAATATGTAGGTATGATGTGTGATTGATACGGCTTGCCTTGTGCACAAGCACGTATCGCTCGAAACTTATCAGCCACCTATAGGTTAATAAAAAACAAAACCAAAAGAAAACATTTCATACGGTAATATCTCATGGGATTTTTTATAATGACATCATTGTAAACAAATGGTGAAAAATAATTATTAAACCAATTAATTATTCTCCACTCCTTATTCCTTCTGGCCACACCTATTTCCCCTTTCAAGACTGGTCACTAAAAAAATTCTGCCCAAAAAAAGTCTGCGAAAGAGAACAGAACTAAAAGAATAACTGCATGGATCAGAAGAGAAATGATTTACTAGGTAATATTTTGTTTATACTGACCAGTCTATCTCTTTCTGCTGGGTCCGATCCCAGACCGTCCCGGTGTGTCCCAACAATAAAGATGGGTGGCGACAGGGCCGTGTTACCAGGCACATTGCGAGCGTTCTCTGCCGTGTGCGCATGGACGGATCGCAACCAGAAATCAATGTGGTCTAGGTTAGTGAACTTTCCCTGGCTCCATTCCACCTGCACATACAGACAAAACAACACAATTGTTAACAGGCCGACAGGTGCATTTACGATTGATAATTACATGTTGAGTGGTTACGAGAAGCAAGTATAAGCGCTGTGGCTAATATAAGTGCCTGGCAAGATAACAGATTTCCTGTTATTTACATGTATCTGCTGTAATGCAACACACAAATAGTGGGAAAATGCAGCTGAGGCCACGATCAAGGAATAATATCAGCAGATTGAGATGCAACGCATGTACATTTCTTTCACAGGGAACAAGCTGTTTAACACATCGTTAAATCTAAAGACAATGTCACCAAACATGAAACATGACACTTTTTCCCTTTGCATTTCCTTTTGGACGATTATTCTCTGAAACTGTCAATGAATATTACTAAATTAATTAAAGTAGGTATAAATTCGCCCAGCACTGAAAAAAGAATCATGTGAAACAGACATTGGCAAGTTTTTCAAGTTCTGTGATGAAAAAGGGGGAAAAGAGACAAGAACGGGGAAAAAAGGGACACACAAACAATACAGTAATCACCATTGTAAATTTTAATATTGGAGTTTTTCCGTCCACCATGTTATTCTTGATTACATAATTTTTGTTATGAGATTACATCGATGAAGGAGAAAATGCAGTATTAAATTTACATCTCCCTGATGTGAAAAAAAACAATGAAAAGTCCATCGAACAAAAGTGAAATATCATGGCATTCTACCCACCTGCTCACTGCAACCATCGGCATGACTCTGGATGGGTGCATCCAGGTCCTTGGTGAGGTCAAAGGTCAGTAGGTATATAGCCCTTGATGACAGGTATACCTGCAAAGAGAAGTTGTTGACAGAACATGAAAAATAATCAACACATTCTTTCTTCTTTACTTTTATACCTGATTATATTTTGCTATTTTCTTTTTACATGTACATGTACCTACTAAACTCTAAAACCGTTGACCACTTTTCAACCCTAATGGGAATGCACAGTGTAGCTTGGAAGTCTTACATGTACAATCTAACCTTACATAAATCTCCCCTGTGGAGTCATTCTTTCAGCTTTCCTATCAAGTGTTGTCACAAGACCCTGGGAATTTGTGATCAGTCAAGCCCAGTCATTCTTAGTGAGTTACTTGAGTGGAGTCAAGTCATTCAAAAGTACATGTCGTCCGGTGCGTGGAAGATGGTGATTAGGGTGAAAAATGGGTCAAAAGGTGTCATTCTGATTTTTCCGGTAACTGATAGAGCATGGAAATATCTTTCATTTGATACACATTTTGTCTCAAGGGGCTACATCATTCCGACGTAATTAACAGTATGAAGCAAAAGGACGTTAGTGTGTAATACTAATGTAACAAAATACATTCCAAGTGTCCTAACATCCCTCTGAAGTGGGCAGGTAAGCCAAGTTTATTTTCAGCTAAAGGTTGTTATGATTTAACATGCCACTTAAGCGCACGTTTAAGGCAGGGGGAGTTTCCGGTAAAAGGTCATTAGCATAAAAGTGTAAATAACTTCAAAATTAAATAATACTTTGAAACAAAAATACACCACATCATCTCACTTATTAACAAATTTCATGGGTCAAAATTTCAGTCTTGTGTGATTTTTAATTTAGAAATGGTAGCACAACACCTTTGAACTCGATTATCTTCATAAGTGGTTTTTTTGCATGCCTCTGGGCTGCTAACGTCCTTTTCCTTGGCACACGACAAATTGTAGTGATTTGAGTCAAGTCATAAGGTTAACAAGTTGAGTCAAGTTGATGTGTATGTATAGCCTATAGTCTCTATGGAATGACCGCTCTATAACGACAGATGTTACTCAGACTACGCACGGCACAAACTTCACCTCGCATGTACTAGGTCAAGTATGATACGTTGTCCATAACACACGTATAGTGCTAGTCATGTACGTGTACATGTACATGACGTGTGGCAGGCTCAGGATGCCCAGCTATCACATGCTGGTTGCTAGTTCGCTATGTATATCTGCATTCTTTTCAACCGATTATGCTAGTGCGCACGAACGCCCAGAGGTTTGTGTCACGTTTTAATGTCAGCAAGTCAAAGTTACTCGAGTCAAGTCAAGTCACAAGCCATATGTTTTTCAAGTCAAGTCAAGTCTCAAGTCATTTTTCCCAAGTCAATTCAAGTCTCAAGTCAAAAAAATAGTGACTCGAGTCCGAGTCAGCGACTCGAACCAACAACACTGCGTGTAACAGACTGAATTACAGCTCTGCCATACACACAGTCATTTCACCCTCTCTTCCTGCCTCTGTCAAATCTCCAACTGTTGCAATTCTTTATCTTCCAACCTCCACACCCTCTCCTTAGCATCATATCTTACCTGATGGAGCGTATAGTACATTGACTGTCCGGTGAAGTCCCATATACTAAGATCAATGCTTCTAGGGCCTCCATCCTCAATTTTCTCCTTCAGATTGTCTTCCATCTTTTCACTCCTCTTCAAGTATTCGTCTACAAGAGCTGCCACCCTCTCAGCGACAAGTTTATCCAGAGAGGAGGTGAATTCTGCCAGGGTGGGGTCTACTCCGCCCTTGGGACGGTATATGTGGTCTTTGCCATCACTGAGGTCAGGCGAGTCAATCTGTAGGTGCAAGGAACAAAATTGGAGTTAACCAGCACAAACAAATGAACCCTATCAGGACTAGGAAGAGGCTGGGTCTTGTAAGGACCAGGGAGAGGCACATTATTGACCCCCCCCCCTCCATTCTAATTTCCATACACATAGGCTGATTTTCCAAACATTTGGCATAAATGTTGGTTGGCCAGTAATCTACTCATTTGGTTGCACTGGGGTTACCACAATAGGACGTTTTCCTATGTTTTATACCCGTTTTTTGGTGTCCCCCCCCCCCAAAAAAAATGGCATAATTCTATTTTTTCATTCAAATACTTCCAAATTGGCATAAACATTTACATTTTTGGGTCAACATTTATTCTATTATTCAAGCTTTGGCATCCAAGGTCATTACTAAAATTTGAAATTTCTTAACCAAAATTGGCATTTTTTTTTTAAAGTACTTATTTGTCAATGTAAATGTTTGGCATTTTTTCAGGCAAGAAATGTCAAATTGTTTCCCCAAAACAACAAAAATTGGGCAGAAAAGGGGAAAATTCAATGCGACTTTTCACGCCAAATGCAGCCATGTCCTGCAAATATTCTTACTTTTTTTAGTATCCCGTCGTTCTCTATAAGTTGTAATTCTTGAAACAAATTTACTTTATAACACCTCACCCACAGATTTTGTATCTTGATTGGCCGAGAGCGAGTCACATGGCATTCGCTATTTTTGCTATCTTGCTGTGCACGACCAAAAGTACTATACCCATAGCAACCAATGTACTATACCCATAGCAACCAGGTACATGTACTATGCATAAGAACCAGTACTGTGTGCAAATGCATATGGGTGAGCGCGTTGCACATATTGTTCCCAAGCTACAGAGCTAAGTTCACACATTTCGTGAAGGGGTAGTTTGGACAATACAAGCAAATTTTTAAGTAATTTCGTATTCAAATTAAAAAAACAATTTTATTGTACCGGTATTTAAATTTGATTAATCAGTTATCCCTTAAAATCAAGTAGAATATGAGGGAGAGGCGTTATAAAACAAATATTAACTGCTTTATCTCATGGTGTAGTAAACTAGCCTCCCTCGGTGATCCATGGAGCATTGTATTTTTCCTCAGCTTCGCGTCGATAAAAATAGAATGCTTCATGGATCACCTCGGGGGGCTAGTTTTACTACACCACTCGAAGCAGTCATTTGATTTTGATTTTTTATTATTATTCTTTTGGGAGGGGGTATATTTATTTCTTTGAAATAGTGATCTACAAATACATTGACATTTAAAAAAGAAGAAGACAAAATTACACATGTACATGTACGTGTATATAATGTTATCCAACAAGTCCAAATTTAGATACATGTTACCAATCTACTCCTTTGTCATCTTTACGAAGAAATAAATTCACCATCGAGCATTTTTTTTAATCAAGGGGACAATATTTAAAATGTCTTGCCCATTATTTTCTGTTGTGTCTAATTAGACTTCAAAAGACACACTGTTGAATGTACCTGTAGAACAAAGGAAATAACTAGACGACTGTTGGGAAAAACGTTAGACATCTATTTTAGAAACTTCAGTTGTCGTGTAAGCATAATTACATGTATATACTGGCACCCTACACGGCAAGGATCATGTCTACTTTAGTGATGCATATTTCAAGTCCATGACATGTTTTTTTCTCTTTCAAACAATGTGCATGCTATATTTTTAGAAGAAGCCTCTCAAATGAGCTCTACTGTACGTGTTGTGGAGCGTGTTAACATTGAAGGATGTGACATTTACACATTTTAAACCAAAACAATTTCAATACCTGTTTACAAATTTTCCAAAATGTTTAAACGAAACCCGAGTTATGAAAAAGGGACCTACGATCACACGATCTTCCTTTGAGTTAAATATACATAGCAAAATTAATTAACAATGTTTTCAAACCTATTTAATTGACAAAACCTTAGAAGCACTGCAGTGCTGGATTACATTCGGGGTACCGGTACATGTAGATTAGTTTTTACGTTTTTAATGATTGCCTGCTATTTTTATGTCATGTCAATCGTGCCTATCTGCAGATATAATGGGAATATGTCAGCCTTTGTGAAACTGTTAAACGTTTAATCAGTTCTTAAAATATTTACTTAACGTTTACAAAATTAAACGTAAAGCCGCCTCCTTATTCACAACACAAGGAGGTGTGAATATCTTGGGCGTTTAATTATTTGTGAAAACAAAATTTAAAGACAGACTTTTGAAGAAAGTTTTTTGAGAAAGCTGTTTTTGAAAGCCCAAATCAATGCACTTTTTTAAAGATTTAGTTTATCTTTGGAGTCAAGTTTTGACTTTATAAAACCAGCTTGGTATTCCAGTTTGTATTTATAACACTAACTGAGTGTAAGCAGGAAAAATCTGCAAGGTATTCAAACGATTTTTTCAAGGTGCTTGTTCTGGAGAACAAAACTGGTTTTCCTCTTTTTGCATTGTTTGAACAATTGCAGTTTGCAGATTTGGTATGTGAACTTGTATACTGTGCAGTAAAAATTTTAAAATCTAGATGTACCGTACATGTTTGCAGAGTTGGCAATACTTCTTGGCAGGACATGTACAGTACCTCTGTTGCACCCACATAATTTTAATATTCAAAGCAACATCACAGTAAACATGTACCGTAATTTTCGGAATATAAGCCGCGGCTTATACGTACATGTATGCAAACAAATGCACTGTGGACAGGGATATTTGCACATCCATGTATGTACACTGCATGTATGCACACAGCATTTTTCAATGTTGACATATTTCTGTGTATATTTTGTAAAATATCTTATGATAATAAACGTCTTCATGCAATTTTATAGACCTTTGCGTTCCCCGTGCGGTTTAACTGATTCCATTCTTTTTTTTTAACATGGATTACGGAATCGTCAACGGAAAAAAACTTGGATTTTGAAAAAAAAACCATTTAAAAATCACCGCTGAAAAAAACGCCACTTTTGATGACCCCCCCCCCCCCCCCCCGAAAAAAATTGTCGCCTTCTGAGTAGTTACATGTTACACAAGATTTTGATTCACGCAATCCTACCTTTGGACCAAAAACAGAGAAAGGAATAATGATACATTAATTTCCATACTGCCTTGCTACATGCTCGCTGCTCGATCATAACGTACTGCGTGTTCATGTGATGCAGTGCACTGGTATTCGTCCACAAAAATATCCTAGGCAGAACGGGGCCGCGATGCACAGAGTTGTATTTGACAAACTAGAGAGTGTACTCATTATACTACACGCACACATGGATGTGACGACATACACGCACAGCGGCCATTCTTTAGGTGGACAAAAACTTCAGAGAGTTAAAAAAATTAGCAAGTACAAGATCTGTAAATCCATTGCTTCCTATTGCGAGATTGAATCAGCATACGAAGCAAGTTACAAAATGCACCATCCCAGGGTCTAATACATGTACATACATACTGTCTCATGGTAGAAAGTGCACCCTAGCAACAGAGTTGTACATGCAGGTAACCAGGGTGACAAAAGCCTACCTGTCAGCTTACCTGTTTACATACATGCATTTTTGCCAAAAAGGATTTTTCATTTCGTCGGGTGCAAAACGAAGTGACGTACCATCTATAGACTTTGTGCACACAATACGTCACTTCGTGGTGTGAACCAACAATTTGATATGAAAATAACATGAACTTGTACATGTATTGTACATTCAATATTGCACCTCCAAAATATTATTGCAGTCAGATGGATAAAAACGCTTAGTTATAAGGGTTTGTATTATGTATGTGTGTATTATGTTTGTATGGTCAACTGTCCGAGCATGTTGGGCCTCTTTAGCCCTGTCCGCACTGGACTTTTTTTGGTAAAACTTACTGAGACTATGGGTACTTTTCCAATTTTAAGTCCAGTGCGGACAGCCTAGGACGTTTTCCTCTCAGTTACTTTTCCTGAGTCCAGTGGTTACAGGGGTGTGAGTGACCACTGATAAAAATAGCTGAAAAAGGTGTAAAAAAGCTGAACATTGGAAATCTCCTATACTTTTGTACACAGCAAGTGAGGGAAAAAGCTGAAAAAAGGGTGAAATCCAACACACAAAAAAGCTGAAATCAGCTTTATAGCTGAGATTTCACACCCCTGGGTTACTTCTACTGGCCAACTGATGCCCAGGAAAACTGACCAGGTCACTTTTTCCGAGACGATAAGTCCAGTGCGGACAGTGCGAGTCGGTAAAAGCGGCTCGGGAAAAAGCATACATCTGGCCCGAGCACGAGTATCATGCATACAGAGACCGCACAATCCCACACATGATGTGGCCGAACATTTTGTGGAAACACATACACTGCGGTGTGTCAAGTCCGAGCGGTAAAATCTCGTTATAAATATATTTTAACGGAAAATACATACACAGAAAAGATCAAGATCACGTCCTGGGAACTACTTTGCAGTTATTCTTTTTCTCCACCGATGTTTGTTTGGTATTTTCTACGATCCAAATTCGTCCTGTTACGCCGTGTAGTCTGCACGGCACCGTACGTAGGCCGCAGTCACTGGTTCTGGTCCTACATCATAGCTTTGATTCTGTTAGCAGGCGGTGGGAACCAGTGATTACCGATGGAACTGCTGCCACACGGAACATCGTACAGCAGCATGGCTTCGATTTTGTTCATCACAAATGCGTCAGAAATGTAGATATTTTCGTCAAGATTTATCATGTCAAGATGAAATAATATCGTATGTAACGATTATATTGTGCATTTTAATGGCGTGTGTAATATTATACTGTGCGTATCGGGGGCTGAAAAAAATGTGATCGACATTTCATTTCCTGCGTGAGTCATTATACTGACAGCTCGGTCACTTCTACCACACGGTCTGGGTAAAATTTCCCATGTCGAAAGTCCAAGTGTGGACAATGGTCACATTTGACCATTTTTCATGTTACCATCGTCTCGGTAAAACCTTCACACAAAAAGTCCAGTGTGGACATGGCTTTAGTTACTATGATTAAAATGATTTGCATTTCATTAATGTCCAAATACATTGTACAATGTGCTATCAGCGAAGTACATAGCTTCAGCATCTTCAAGCCAAAACACAAATGACCAACCCATTCAGTTTCAGATCTCTTGCATTTGAGGGAAAAAAACAATGTCATTGAGTTGGCCAAACTGAATTAAACCGGCGAGGCGAGACACTGCAATAGACGCAATCTACGCATACGTGCTGGGTGCCTGCCTATACTAAATTACTTCAGGCACACTGTCAATTGGGTTTTGTAATCAGTCGACCGGTAATTGCATATTGCTAGGCTCGACTTCAAGGGGGGCGATATATGCAATGAATTGGCAGATTGTTAACAAAATTACCGTTGATGAATAGTTGCCTTGGAAACAAATGAAGTTATAAAAGTGTCCGTGAAGAGAAATATTTCAGGGTTATTTCATTCAGTGTTCCATTGTTTGAAAAATGGGGACGTTGTCCAATTGCTTCTGTTGTGAATTTAAAATGGGGCCACAATGTAAAATGTACGTCATGAATGCACACAAGCTTTCACTCATGTCATAGACTGATAATGTTTGGTGCGTGTTCTCATGTATTGGGATAGTGTATTGAGGTAAATGGCTTTGTTGAGTGCAGCGTATTTGTTTTTCACTAATCACAATTCTTTGTTCTTTGTGTAATTCAATTGAACTTTAATTTGATGGGAATGAAATTCTCAAGACATGTACAGTCCTGTGGTGCTAACATTTGGTTTACTTTAATAGTGATCCAAGTGACATTTGTTGCTATATTTTGCCTTGGATAATTTCAATAGCCATATTTAATATTTTAAACAAAATCAATGTGACATCATTCAAGTCACTCAAATATTGCAAATGCAAATAATGCGAGTTTGTGACATCATGGCAAGAAGGCCAGTTTGTGCTGCCAAAAAAAAGATTTGAAAACATAAATTTATATGAAAAAGTTTAACCATTCACACCCCTCCCCCCCCCCCCCCCCCCCCGGTAACTTAGACGAACTTTGTATCGATCGTTTACTGATGCTTTGCATTCGCATTAAGTATGAACTGATCTTTACACATTATTTTGTCACACAGGGAATGTACATATTACACAACTTCAAGTGTGTCCTCTGCACCTAGCAACAGCATATTTCATGCATGTCAGGAAAGCTCACAGTGCTCAGATAGGCATAACACCGTGATGATTTAATTCACTGCTTGACAAGCACCAACTTCTACCTCTTTGACTCCCTGGCGCAATTTAAAGGGTTGTCCATTTTTGAATAATTTAGTATTCAATTACTCGAAATTGCACTTGACCAAATATTTGGATATTCGAAACTGCCAGGTGCAAATATGTGCTGCGCCGGTAAAAAGTTGCATGAAGAGCGTGCCAGTTGAAATTTGCATGCTGCATCGATATGGGGCACTGGACTGTTGTGCAGTATTTATGTCATAAATGTAAAGGGTTTTAATCTTCTAAAAGGATGTGAACGATGAACTGCTGTCAACAAAAAAGTTACCATCGACCAAAAAGTGGATCCTGACAATAAAACGCTGCAACTTTATGATAAAATATCATCTCGGTCCTGTGTGTATGTGCGTGGGGTTTTCTGTTTTCGAATATTCAAACCAGCAAAAAGCTATTCAAATATTCGATGGATGATCAAATTTTTTAGTATTCGGTATATTCAGGACACCCGTACAATTTAACAAAAAACTTACTGTTCAACAACATTGTGATGCATAATTTAGTATAAAACCGAGACTGGTTGAAGTTTCAGCGCTTCTTTATTTTATTTTTTTTTCTGGTTCTGGGATAATATAATTCTGTATTGATAGTACAAGGTGGGACCCTGTAGTAAATTTGCATGCGTCTTGCTAGCACAAACCAGCTTTCTGTACTTGACATGAAGTAGTAATTGAGTTAGCCGTCACCTCAATTCTCTCTAAATTTTTAACAACTGGCGTGTTGATTAGCCTTTGACTCAAGTTGAGTCTTTTGCTACCAGTAAGCGACTAATTTTGTAAGAGTGACTCTTATCGAGTCACTGACTTCAGTCATTACGACTCTGCCCTAAGTTTCCTGCCCTCAGTTTCCTCACCTCTGACATCCTGTTAGAATCTGTCACCTCCAGGTCACTGATGATCTCTGGTTCTTGTTTGTCCTCCTCCTGCTCTTTCCTTGTCTCATCTGGTCTCTCCTCCCCCTTGGTCACCTCCTGAACTCCTTTCTCCTCCCCTTCTACCCCCTCATCTTTCGCCTTAGAATTGTCGTCTTGTCTGCCTCTGCTGAGGATGTTGTTCTCCTTGTGTTTCCTCCTCAGCAGTTCGTGTGTGATATTCAAGGCAATGGCTTGTGCATACTCTTCCTCTATTTCAGCGGTTGTATCTGCAATCAAAGTGGTCACATTTTGCACAAAATGAAGTGAGCATGTAAACTACGAGCCACATAAATGTATTTAAAAACTCTTAAGAGCACTCTGCGGTCAGCTTGCAACAAACAAGAATATACGTAAAGTTTTAATTGCAGGTACATGCATAAAAACTGACGTATAGCATTTTGTATGGGCTCTGTGCGGCAACAAGAGAGGGCGCCATTGGACGAGACACACCGCAAGTGCATACTGGTACAACAAATTTATTCTGAATCAAAGCTATAACGTCTTAACGTACATAATGGCAATGCGTTCGACTGTCCTTCCCAATGGTCTCCACAAACTCTCCCTTTCTTACCATTGAGGGGGAAACTTGAGCATGCAGCCCATGAAATATGTGACTTCACAAGTATGTATACTTTTAGCATGCATTCAACACAATATCCACCAAAAACACAAAACACTGACATAATTCCAACGGTGAACAAAATATGAAATGGATTGATATAAATAAAAAGTTCCTGACCAAATCCCTAGCTGTCTAACCTTTTCCTTTCTCTTCATCATTTTTCTCTAGAGGTTGTTCTTGCCAGGTATGTCTACCATCGTGATCTATGATGTGACAGTGCTGCGTTGTATCAATACCTCCGGTAGATGTTTCCTCCGACACACAACTAGTCAAACAAGAGATCAACAAACAATGTTTTAACAAACAGTTGGGCTCTTCACTTTACTCATTATCACACCACAGGTCGGTTGCTTCCCTTTAGACCAAGTTAAAAAATAAACCAGTTCCTCATCCCCGCTTGCTTCCTTTTTTCCCCGGCACCTCCCCTTTTTTTTAATTCATACATTTGTAATACATTTTGTCTTTTATGTGCTTCCAGCAAAATTGTAGCAATGTATGCAAGTTTAGCATCTAGTAAATAGGGTGATGGCTCTTTAGGACACAAAATTATTTGCAAAAGAGTCAAGAAAATGGAGGAATCCATCTTGGAAAATCCACCATGTTAGGAAAAAAGGGCCCCCTCCTACCTTGTTTAAAAAAAAAAACCTGGACGAGAATATATTTTTTTGTTTAACTTGGCCTTAGTATTTTCTACAAATATTTTCACTGTAGATTTTGCTCTGGTGTGTCAACCTTGGTTCTTCCAGTTGAGGTGTTTGAGCGCCAGGAAGACTCTCCTTGCCCTCTACTCACACCCACACACTCTAGTGATCCACAGGTTTAGAAGTAAGAGTTAGGCATAGCTTTGTTTTAAATTCATGGCATCTTTCGCGACTTCAATAAAATGGAAAAAACACCAAAATGAACACCTCAAACACAAGTAGTCTTTTAACTTTCAAAACCTGCAATAAAATATATTAACTAATGTGTATCCTCTTCTGATGAAAGTATGAGTATGACTCACAAACATTAACTTTGGTACGTGAAATAGTAAAAATGTGTGAGGATGACGAACATGTATGTATCCAGGGTTCAAAATCAAAATTTGCACATTTCATTAAATGGAAATTTCAACTGTAAATACAAGCAAAACCTGCTTTCTACCAAATTTACATACTTATTAAAATTTAATGAAATGTTAACTAGTACTATATATTGCAAGGAGTTAGAGATGAAATGTTAACTATTACTATATATTGCAAGGAGTTTAGAGACAGCATAAACAGAAAGAAACAAGTCAGGTGTGTTTACAAACACAAATGCCCCGCAACCGTGACTGTTCCCATGACATAACACCACTCTTTTAACATCAACTTACATGTACCTTGGTCACATGGAACATTCATTGACAGAATTAGTGTCTTCTGTAGGTTTTATATGAATTAATCCCTAATCCCTATAATCTCAGAATAAATACAAGATTTCTATTGTTTTAGCCACTGTGAACTTGACCCTTGACCTTTTTGCCCCAAATTCAATAGGCTTCTTAGGATTACCAAGAACAATCCACAAACCAAATTTGAAGTTCATATGTTAAGTATTTCTCAAGTTATCGCGCTGACAAGATTTCTATTGTTTTAGCCACTGTGAACTTGACACTTGACCTTTTGACCCCAAATGCAATAGGCTTCTTAGGATTGCCAAGAACAATCCACAAACCAAATTTGAAGTTCACATGTAAAGTATTTCTCAAGTTATTGCGCTGACAAGATTTCTATTGTTTTAGCCACTGTGAACTTGACCTTTGGCCTTTTGGCTCCAAATGCAAAAGGCTTCTTAGGATTGCCAAAAACAATCCACAAACCAAATTTGAAGTTCACATGTAAAGTATTTCTCAAGTTATCGCGCTGACAAGATTTCTATTGTTTTAGCCACTGTGAACTTGACCTTTGGCCTTTTGGCCCCAAATGCGAAAGGCTTCTTAGGATTGCCAAAAACAATCCACAAACCAAATTTGAAGTTCACATGTAAAGTATTTCTCAAGTTATCGCGCTGACAAGATTTCTATTGTTTTAGCCACTGTGAACTTGACCTTTGGCCTTTTGGCCCCAAATGCGAAAGGCTTCTTAGGATTACCAAGAACAATCCACAAACCAAATTTGAAGTTCATATGTTAAGTATTTCTCAAGTTATCGCGCTGACAAGATTTGTCCGGACACACACACCCACACCCATACTTGTTTCAAATGACTAGTGTGGACTTTCCATTGCTTTCGTGTAGTTAAGAAAAACCAGTGAAAAAACTCATTTTTCTCAAACTGTGAAAACTCTTTCAACCCAATTTTTTTTCTATGATTCCCTTTAGTGTTTCTCTTCATTCTGCTACAGATAAACCTAACCCAAAAATGCCTCTAAACCTGATTTCCAGAAATGGGGAAACACTGTGTGGACGTGGGGCAAGTCCACACAACGTCGGTGCTACCTACATTATGTGGACGTGTTTTGTTCGGAAGTCCACACTGCGTATGTAAGACAAGCTCACACCCACCCACCCACACACACACCCACACACCCACCCACCCACCCACCCACCCACTCACCCACGGAAGGACAAGGCGGAAACAGTATGCCCCTTCGGCTTCGCCGCGGGGCATAAAAACATTTCAAGATCGGAGGAAAAACAATTTCCCAATGCAAGATTACCAGTTATATTAACCAACTGCTAGTTTATGCGATGACCTTCTTCCATGGCAAACCTACGCCAGAATCTCTCTACATGAGATATAAAACATAGGCAGAGGCTGAAATCTACAGTCCTACATGTACATCCATCGAAGCAAGCAAGACCATTTGTAGAATTTTTCAATTTTGTTTGATAGTTTTGGAAGGGTGGGGTCTAAAGAACTACAGGATGCTGTAACCTGTTCTTACATTGTAATGAACACTACATGCATTTTCCGCTTTCGTACATGTACAATACATGTAGTCCTGTTGTATTCCATCTTAAAATAGTCCTGTTGCATCATGCACATGTCATGCATGTACATGTACATGATTTGAACATACATGTACATGTACCTACAGGTATATATTCATGATTACAAAGACCTACATGTACACGTATGTAAACATTTTTGGGAAGGCAAAATATTGCTAAGTAAGACATAAAGAACCACTTAACCCTAAAAAATACATTTCAATTTTATCCTCTTGTCAAGCTTGTACTTTGAAACCTGGGGCACATACCGGCGCAATCAGTTTAGCTCCATGGTAACTATAGTCGGTCTTCAGTCAGCTTCTTTTGACATTGAAGTATATTTAATTTCTTAGTCTTCAAAACCCTGGGACTATCGTTGACTGTCTGAGCATCTCAACCGAATCAAGGTCATCATTAATGGACAACTGAAATGGTACATTAGCTCCTGAGGGAGGGGGCGTCTCAGCACCTGCCAGAATTGAATAACAACTGTCTTTATTAAGCCCCAGCGGGACTTGCATCCTTTGAGGCTCAGGCTAGGAATAAGTCAAGACCATGGCTACATAATAGCTCAAGAAAGCCCCAACAGAAATCATTTTCAAAGCAATGAAGTCAATTAAGAACAAAGGCCGTTACTTCAGTTTATAGAATTTCTACAAAAAAAAGAACATTGAAAATTTGCATTTGCTGTAATTTTCAGAAATGGATGGATTTGGCAGTTAGTTTTTTATACCAAATATCGGTCCGCTAAAACCTGTTTAAAGTTTTGTGCTCATCATAGATGCCGAAAAAAAAGAAAAAATACTGTTCTTGTAGTTTGGTTCCCTGATCGAATACTTCAGACGTTTAGGATTTGTAATAATTGCAAACAAATAGGAAGCATTATTTGAAAAAAAAATGGCTATTTTTTTCCAACGATGGTTCAGCCGAGCCATTGTTGGAAAAGGATGCCATGAATTTACAGGTTGCTTGTGACTATTATTCACTTACAGTCAAGTAAGGTATTTCATAAAAAAAATTGGTTGTTTTGTTTTTGAATGTTTGCAAATGTTACCTTTAATTGTGTGTTAACCCTTAGCGAACTCAACCCATCAAAGCCCAACAGTAGGTTTTGTTGAAATCTGTTAGGATAGGTACAGTACCCCTAAACTGATGGTCTTTTACATTAGGTTTGGCCATATCTCCATAAACTACATTGTAAGTCCAACAGTGTGTGCCTATGATTTCCCATGTGGGTGTTGGAATTTGCCAGAATGGGTACGGTTCCTAGTAAATTATGCTAGGGAGCATATACAATGTACATGTTACCTCAGTACAATGTAGTTGGTTCTGCCCGTCACCAAAGTATTTTATGAACACTGTACATTTACATGTATATCCACCCCATACATGTAAGTAATCATAATGTTGGGGTGACGTAAATTCAATAGTCACTGACCTACAATGTAGTTATATAAAAAATTATACCGTATTCTCAGTGTTGTCCAAGTGCAAGTGACAAGCAATTCACAAACTACTCAGGTAAGACTCGAACCCCGACCTCCTGCTTACTAGTGCAGACGTCTTACCACTTAGTGCTGACGACACTGAGTATACAGTGTTTATAAAATACGCCGGTGACCGTGACAGGCAAAACCAAATATTGAATTCAATCGATAAGCTAAGTGACATTTTTCTGGAAAGTCCTCGGACAACACTGAGCACACAGTGTTTTAAAAAAAAATATGTTGTTGAAGGGCAAAACCCAATTATATTTTCCTAACGTCAATTCCATCTTATAATATGTAACCTATTTTACAATAAACTATTTTACTATAACCATTACTAAACAAGCAATAATTCATTAATTAACCATTGAATCAATAATCTGAAACAACAACAACAAAAAAGACTAAATATTAATAAAGACACTCAATACAGGTCTTATTTGCATTTGTTTTGGTGAACATGTGTACATGTTCCCATATTCTTGCACAAAACAGTACAAAGTGTACTATAGTTCTGTACATGTATGGGCAATTATGGCCAAAACATGGACAATTTTGATATGAAAAGGGGTTATTTTTTTCCCCTCTTTTTATTTTGGCACTATACAAACATGTACACTGTACTGACAACCAAGGTTGTAAGCAAGTTACATTGTAGCAACACCTTACTTTTTCAACCTCAGGCCTTTTCCTTCCTCACTGTACTGTTCTATATTTTCAAGAATTGTCCCTGAGATTTCTGCCTGACATGACAGACAAACATGTACATGTATAAATAATAGGCTGACTTGATGCAAATGGCCCAGCCCTCCAAACTCATCA